ATTGGAATGCAGTTATGTTTACTGACGAGTCGCGTTTCTGCTTGTATAGTGATAGTAGACGCCGAAGAGTCTAAAGGATGCGTACAATGCCCCAGTTCGTGCTCCTTTCAGTTCAGTTGGGAGGAGGCGGTGCAAAGGACTGGCTTGGATTTACACTGGAGGACGAACTGGACGCCATATTGTTGAAGGCAACCTCACCGCGGTCCGTTATGTCCAAGACATTGTCGAGGAAAACGTCTCTCTAACCAGGAATCTCATTGGCAGGGATTTGCGATTTCTGGATGACAATGCCAGAACTCATTGAGGCAGAGTTGTTCTTCCATGTTTAGAAAACGTGGAATTTCCTATCTGCCCCTTCCCCCATTCGATCACCACCCGCAGCTAGTCGTCCTGCAACAACTGAGTGCAGCGTTCCAACATCTATAAAGTGAAATCCCTTATGGAATTATTGGCAACTTTATTAACAGTATGCCTAACAGACGCATAGAGGTTTTAGCTAAAAGAGGACACTATACACGGTATTAATTGTTTAAAAACATTATTGTATCCAATAAACTAAATTATGGAATTAAAACCAATGATTTTTTTTATTTTTCAAAATCCCTTAATTAAATTTTCCTTCTCTAAAAAAAGAATAATTTCTAGTCAATTTTAATGCTGCGTTAACATTTGGATTTAAACAGCTTACCTAACATTTATTTTCATGGTTGAGAGATATTTTTATCCGGAATATCCAATTACTCGCGATGTTGATCTCAGCTCGAAGTGCAGTGACCCTTGCTGAATCCATCTTTCATCTCGGATGACATAACACCTTGAATTTGTGATGTCTGGAGGATAAGAGAAGAAGGGTCCGATTTGCGATGGTTGGACCGAGATAGAATACGTTTTACTCTGTTTTGCAAAATACATTTTATTTCTCATACGATTTATCTCCATTTCCGGTCGCGGGAGTAAAGGAGAAAATTGTAGTTTTAACAAAAAGGTTAAGTAAATTGATTCCAATGCGCGTTTAATAATCGATTCGGGCGATTTTTTTTCATTCACAACAGCTTGGTAAGTTGGCCTTCATTCGAATTTAAATATTGCCTTTATTTTTAATCGAGTTGATCGATAATCGGAGCCCAGAATGTGGGGATCGAATTATTTACTTGAAAAAATACTCTGATGGACAAAATTAACGCACCACCCTTGAATTTTAATGTGTTTACATTTATTCATATTTTGCATAACAAAAATAGTTTTCGTCTAAAAATAAGACACAATAAGACAAAGAACATGTTTATTTCCTAATTCTAAAAAAAAAAAAAAAAAACAATTATTGACAAAGAAGAAAGATCAACAGAAAAGTCAGAAACATATGAAAATGTTTTTAAAAACTTTTTTGTACCCTTTAATACCGAGTGTTTCCATCTCTGGCACGAATCATATCCTTTAAACGCTTTTGGATTCTTAGGATTTCCTGAGGAATTATTTCCTATTCATCAAGAACAGCCTTTTGCACCTCTTCTGGGGTGTTAGGATCTTGGTTTCGCCGTAGTACTCATCGTTTTAGTTGGTCCCAAATGCGTTTCATTGGGTTCAAATCTGGATTTCGAACTAGACACACCAAACAATCATTTCCAGCCTCTTTCAAGTAGTCATCCACGATGCTTATCTATGTAGCCTGGCATTACCCTGCATTAGCAAGAATCCCTCACCGATGTGGTAGGGGGCAAATAGCACTACATGTTCTCCAGTTATGTCTTGTAAGTGTCCTTGTGAAGTTAGAGATTGTCCTCGCACACCAATTCGGTGCGGTCCAAGGAAATGCAAACCCTGCAAAGACCTACAATGGAATGCCACCTGAGGAATCATACAGCATGGGGTGTACCTTTCGCTTGAGCGTCTCCATATGAAATTACGCCCATCTGAAGATTTGACGCCAACTCTCACCTCATCTGTAAAGAGCACTGGTCCTCAATCTACCCATGTCCAATTTACATATTTCCGTGCGAATTGAAGCCTGGCTATTTTCTGAGCTGAAGAAGAGGCCGAGCCGTGAGGTTATTTTCATTGCCTTCTTCTGAAATCAAAACATTTTGGACTTGCCTTATCAGATTTCTTATCTCACTTCCCGTACGACTGCGATCTTTAGGCGTAGCAGAATGGAAGGGCATAATTTTGCTTTTTGTGCGAATGGGATTAATCAGTACTTAAGCAAACAACAGAAGCAAACGAAGTATTATTTACTTTCAATTAATTAAGGTTTTTGGTTGAGATAAAAAAGTTAGTGTCACGATCGGGATTCGAACCAACGGTCTTCGGCTAGATACGCCGCTGCTCTACCACTTGAGCTATTGTGACTTCGATCCACTAGGACACTAACTTCCCATCTCAACCCCACCTTATGAATTTTCCCTCCTTTGACTATCACAAATGTTTAGAATTGGCCAAATCTAGTGAGTTTGAATTTGAGGGATCGTGACCTCAAGTTCAAGTTGTAGAGCAGCGGCGCATCTAGCCGAAGATCGTGGTTTCGAATCCCGCTCTCGACACTGACTTTTGAACTCAACTAAAAACCTTAATTAATTGAAAGATATTAATTGGTCAAGCGGACCACGAAAACTAGTGGAAGTATTATTTACTGTTTATTTTGTCTACGATAGCTCCTAATTGTCTGTAACTAATGTAGCAAGAAAAGGATGTAATTTTACAATAAATAAATTTAGTGGTCAAATTTGTCTATTACTGGATTTTTAAATTAAATTGATCATGCCATCTAGTTTATACTGTGGCGGTTTCGTAAATTAATTTATTTAAATGAAAATGAAGTTGTTCCGTATCTTTACAAATCTTGAATCTCTGGAACCACTCTAAGTTTCAAGTCAAGTTGACTATTTACGAAAAGTTTGTGTGTAAACTTTTCCCTCATTGTTCTTGATTGTATTACATCCTATTAAATTGAAAAGTGATTTTCTGCCTCGAGCCTAATTTGGTCAGTAAAATCAATATATTGACAGTTCCGACAGCAAGTTAAACAACAATCCATTATGGATTAACTTTTGAAAATCGTTACTGATTTATTATTATTGACCTATTAATATATATAGATGAAGAGGATTTAAAGGTTGTAATTTTCATATTGCCAAGGAAAAGGGGTTGAAGCCAGAATAGTCTTCGACAATTTAGAAATTACACCGTACTTAACTCGTATCGTTGGACTTTTTTTTAAGAATGATAATTAATGTGTGGTGATTAGTGACCGTTAATCGATAATTATTCAGAAATCGTGAGATACGGTCTGGTGTGATGTAGGTTTCAGAAAAACATTTTCTTTATGATCTCTATATCGGCCCTGAAGATGATCTCAATACAGATCGAAATGTTGGCACGATAAAGAAAATGTTTTTCTGAAACCTACATCACACCAGACTGCACTCACGATTTCTGAATAATTAATGATAATTAAGTTGTAATCGTTCGGTATGTAAGATGAATAGTGCTTGAACAATCGAATCCGAGACATTAAGCTCGGTCAATACTGTCAAATCATGTTTCGCGATAAAAAAAATGCGACTTGAGAGAAACGAAAATTGAGTGACAAGATAAAACTTTTAAGTGCAAAGTATCCTTCACTACCTCCCTCGGTCACTTTGCAAATGAGACATTTGACGTATTTACATTTTAAAGTTAAACCAAATCTAACAGACAAAAATATTGACGAAACTAACTTGTCGGATATAAATATAATAAATGTGATATATTTATTGATATCATTGTGGTTACATTCATTGGGCATAAATTAAGAACGATACAAACTTTTTATGGGTTTAAATGAACTGGATTTATCTAAATCCTTTGGTTTGATGTGTTTATATTTTTTACAATTTTAGCACGTTCAGTCGATTCGATGGGACATGTGCAATTGCTATTTTACTTGGATAATTAACGTCACCATCCATGCCTTTTGATCAGGGGTGAAACAGGAAGCCATGTACAGCTTTACTCTCCATTTGGCCGAGTCCGCTGAATCATTTTTAACAATTTTATACAGTGTTATTTTTTAAACAATCGTATGAACGATGACATGAAAATGTGGCAATTATGATGCACATGGTTGAATTCTTTAAATTTATGTTATGTTCAGATAATAGTTTCAAGATTATTTGGAGGTCGTGAGATGCGATCTGGCGTGACGAAAACATTTTCTTTATCGTACCAACGTTTCGAGTTTTATTGAGATCATCTTCAGTGCCTTGTGTTACACGAGAAGAACGAAGAACATGGGATTCTATGAACAGATTTCAACTACATATGGACATTGAACTACAATCAGAGTATTCTGAAGGACATCGCCAACAATGAGAAGACTCGCATCGGCTATCAATCAGAGAACTTTTTTGTTGAAAGCAGACAACACAAGGCCCTGAAGATGATCTCAATTAAGATCGAAACGTTGGTACGATAATGCAAATGTTTTTCTAAAACCTACGTCACAGCACACCGCATCTCACGACCTCCAAATAATCAAGTAACGGTCACTAAACACCACACACAAGAGTATCAAGTTTAAACGTATGTATATAATATACATTTGGATTCAACATTATATTTATTTTGTTTTATTTATATAGCAGGGCAATCGACAACAAAATCGTTTCAGTCCCTTAGGAGTGTTGTTTAACCTAGACCCATTCACTCTCTCACTCATTCTTAAATATATTCTTTCCTATTTACATACCATTCACAAGAGTAGAAGGTAGAAATATATTCCTCCATCCTTTACTCACATAAACAACTATTTTATTTGAAGGCTGTTGTGTTACTTACATTAATACTTACTTAATATTACGCCATTTTCACCAATAAAAGTAAAACTTTTAACTTGGTCAACAGTCCGGGTTGTATTTCTATAATTGGCATAAACATTTAATTATATTAACTGAAACATTCTTTTGTTTAAATAGCCAAAATAAAACAGTTTAACTCATTTAAAAAACACTGCTATATTGATTCATTGTCTGTTTCAGATTCATGGTTGTGCTTGTGTGCCTGATATTCAGTGTGCTGTCCACAATAGAAGCGTATTCGAATTTCGCAAATAAAACATTATTTTGGATGGTAAGTTTAATTTAACACATTTGGGCATTAGTTTAACAACCATTGATTTTTTGAGCACGTTTGAGCTATTTGAAAGTAGTTAATTTAAAAAAAACTTGTTTTCCAAATCGAAAATTACATTGATAACTGTTAATTTTCTGCCTATAATATTTAACTTAAATTAATCCTTAACGCCATGAGTTATTGTCTTGGTCGAAGCCGCGTGCCTTTCTCAAACGTGTACATTTTAACAACTCAATCCGAATTATTTATTTAGTGTTTACTAATTTTTCAACATTTAAAAGTGGAAATATGTTTAAATAATGTAATTTTTGGTGGTAAATTGCATAATTGTGTAATTAAAAAGATTAAAGCCAGAAACACACTTACCCGATGCTACGCCATGCGAAGCTACCTGACGCAAATCCAAACTCCGATTTTCCATAAGGTTACATTACCCCCGTGCACATCTACCCGACGCTATGCAACGCTAACCTACCCGACGATCTGCGATCCCCACTGTCCAGATTTTCGTCGGGTAGTATCGAGTACAGTCGAAGACAAAAGAACCGGACACTCATATTTTTATTCAAACTACATGTATTATTGTTTTTATATTAATTACAACATACTTAGTTTAATAGAAACAAAATTAACTGTGATTAAAAATTAATTAGTTTTTATTTAAAAAATTAATTTTAATGGATTGGTAGAAAATTAATCAAAACACCGGAATACGATTTTTTGATATAATAAATTTAACTAACAATTTATTGTACTCGCTTCGGCGGTACATATACTAAAATTGGAACAATTTATTACACGGTTTTGCTCATAAAATTTAATTAATAATTTATTTCATAGTTTTGCTCGTAAAATTACACCATTTTCTAATGTCGGGTATCATCAGAACAGGACACTCATATTTTTTGTAGTTTATTTCAAACTAAGTGCATGTAATTTTGTCGTTATATTAATTACAACGTTTTATTTTAATGTAAACCAAATTAAACGAGTTCAAAAATGCATAAGTTTTTATATACATTGTTTAATTAGATGGTTAAGAGTAACTTTATTTAAAACAATTAAGTTTAACAAACAATTTATTAGATGGTTGTGCTCATAAAATTTAACCAACAATTTATTACAAGGTTTTGTTCAAAATAGTGCATTAAGAACAAAAGATGCGTTGCGATTGTGATAGTGATTATCGTGATAAACGCTGTGGACTGTACGCGACGTGTCGGATAGATGTGCACACCCCATCAAAACGTGGCAAGGCGTCGGGTAGCGTCGCATGGCGTAGCATCGGGTAAGTGTGTTCCTGGCTTAAATGAGATGAGTATTTACACGACATAGTGGGAGGTCGAGTTTCTTACACATTTCAAATATGAAACCACAATTTCCTTCATCACATGTATAATTGTGGGCAGTTTATGATTTTTTATTATTAACATGTTTCCTTTACATAGATTACATGTTTTTCTTATAGTAATGTATTGTGATGAGTAGTGAAATATATCGATAATTTTGGGTAAACAACAATGAACTTAGATGGTAAAATTAACCACTCCGTAACAACAATAAATTTTAGTGTTATATGTATGTAATTACAACAGGGAATCAATCGGAAATTTCCATTTTGATTTTGAAAACGAATTTTAAGAAGCTCTTAAACAGGTCCTTCGTCACCAATTCCGCTGTTAGTGCCGGCCACCTGAATCCCTTCGCAGCTGCGGTTCGAATCAAATCCACTCTCCATTTCTCCTGAGAATTGAAGTCATAAATAAGATGATTCCAGCTTTTGCGAAAAAAAGCTTCCTTACGATAGCAATTGGGTGTAGACATAATTTTTTTATTACGAGGGTTCGCAACAGCAGAGGTTATATCAACCCTCCAGGGCCGCTGGATTCGAACCCGGGACCTTTACCTTACAGTGATGAGCGCCGTGTCAACGCCTAAACCGTTGCGGCCACCGACGGCCCCTGTAGACATAATTCCAAGTCGGTAAAGGTACAACTTATTGCAACCGTGGTCGCTAAGTGCCTGAGTGAGGTTTTGGCGTACTATAAAGCGCACGCATTTTTACAATAGAATACTATTGAGAAGAATAACTTGGTCCGCTAGCCGTTCCTCGTTTCGAGCCAGTCCTTGTTCAACAACTTTTTGAATTAGAACTTCTTCTACTATCGACAGTAGCTTTTTGTTGGAACAGACTTGAGAAGTATCTTCGGACGCTTCCTTGGACATTTCATCGACCAGCTCGTTTCCATGGGTATACACGTTGCTTTCGTCCACGTGAAACGGACTGCCCCGTGCTTACTGTTTTCGAGCCTATGTAATAACCTTATTGCTTTGTTCTGTAAACCCTGCTCTTATTTACCGAATTTTTAATGTATCTGTGAGTTACCCGCTGTCAGTTACAATTCTCACTTATCAGGCAGTTTATGATGAAACAGTCGAAGAAATATTAAACCACAGCTGCTCTATCAGTTTATTGCTTTTAAGATGATCATCAGGGCTATCAAAACGCAATGCCGTTTTACCAGCTACAAATCAATTTCGTGACATAACTAGATTAAAAACAGTTCCAAACATTAAAACATAATATACGTCATAGATAGAAGGTGTACGGTCGTATTACTCGTATATCTCGGGGAGAAAAACGGATCAACTTATCATTCGTCAGGAATGGTTTTTCTCTTGAATCGTTGGAGTTATGAAAAAGTAATCCAGGTCGTCACATTTCAAAACAACTGCTTAAAATAAATAAAAGAGTAATCTAACCAAAACTGCTCTCTCCTCAAAGCTCGTTTATTTCATAAAAAGTAACAAAGTTTAGTCAACTCTTCTCTATTTTTGCAACCGACAACTGTTGCATTCAAACTCCAACTTTTAACTCATCACTGGGCACCGAGTGTCAACTCATCACTCAACTACTGACTTGACGGTGTCTACCCTTTTGCAAAACCCCAGACGGCTCTACATGGGGCTTTCTTTACCATGGTAGCTAATACCCTCTGGCTTCACCATTTGGATTTCTTAACATTTTTTGGAGGGGGATTATCGAATGTCCAAAGAATAAACGAAATGTGTTGTTTATGCTTTGAAATGCCTTCATTCTAATTGACAGTTAATACAATAATCTTGACAAAAGTAATTATTAATTAGTTGTACAACTAATTAGCTAATAAAATAAAAATGTTTGTCAAAGATTTGTTGATTGATTTGGTATGTTTGAGAAACCTGTTTGAACTGTAAATTTTTATAAATAAATAAACCGTTAAAGCATAGTAATTTATTGAAAGACACAACAATATTAGGAATGTAGTATTTTTTTAACATGCATACATGTTCATCTATACAAATAAATGATCTTTGATATATTTACAATCAGCTTTAACTTCCCTATCTTTTAAGGTTTTATTTAGAGGTAAATTCTGATCCAGATGTTTCTGCTGTTGTAATATTAAAATCTGTAACAATACAAGAAAAAGCTTTATAACATTAGTTCATAATAAGGAAAAAATGAGTAAAATTTTTACCTAGAGGTTCAGAAAGTAAATTTTCTTCATTCTGATTATCAGTTTGAACATCTAAAAATTGCATTAAAAAAATCAAATGTTTGGAAATAAATCACAAAATTCATTTTACTAAATTAACCAATATTTATATATCTGTTATTTTTCTACATAAAGTAAAAGTAAAATAAATTATTAGAAAAGTGTACCTGTTAAATCGGACAGCTGTCTTGGGCTCGGCAGCTGCAACTCATTTCCTAGTTGTTCCACTGTAAAAATACAGATTAAATAAAAATTAACAAAAGATTGTCTTCAAACATGAATACATTTTACCTGTCATGTCAGCATCCTTCTTTGGTTCTTTTTGAAAAATTAAAAATAAAAATTATTTTTTAAATATACAACTTTAAAAATGTTCAATACCTGGAGATGAAGAATACAGAATCTGTGGTGACTTTTCACTCTGCAAAGATGTACTCGACGGTGGGTCATTCTGTAAGGACACATCTGATGGTGGTTCATTCTGTAAGGACACATCTGACGGTGGTTCACTCAAACATAGCGTAGTTCCTTTTATTTATATATATGATCACGAATTAATAGGTAAAATGATAAAAATAAATTTCAGGTAGGTTATTTAATGTAATTACCACTTATTTCATCAGAAAGGTCTGCTCTTGGCGAAGGTTTAGTTTCAATCTCTACAAAACAAATACAGTTTTCTTATGTTTAAATAACAAATGCTTTACACATTTTTAACTAAATTTGAAAAAAAAAAAACTTAAAGCTGAAAATACCTGAACTAGATTCAAATATATTCACAGAACTCAATTCGTCTTCCTCATGATCTAGAAAATAAAAACATTTTTATGTTATTCTTGTTTTGTTTTTTAAATTATGGATTTTTTTTTGGCATTGTGCTATCTTTAATGAGGAACTGTCTGTCGCTTTGTCCAAGTAGGGTCTATATGTCATTGAGTCAGTTTTTGTTTTATTCGTTAACTCTTGAATAAAAACAAAGATACCAGATGTTTACTAATAAACGTATTCAAAGAGAAATAATAAAATACCAGGTTTATCGTCTGATCCGATGTCCATCAGGATTTGCTCTTCCTGGCTCGTGTTGTGCTCTATACAAAATTTTGTTGATGTTTAACATAATATACTTTAATTAAATTAACAAATAAATTACCTTCATCCGACTGCTTCGCAATCGAGATTTCAAGATCTAAAAAAAAAATTAAAAATTTTCATCATTACATGGTTACCATTGATTAAATGGTTATAGTAAGATATTAAAAATAATAACCTGATATAACAGAAGATGACAGTTCAATAGTTGTACTGCATTCTTCTTGACCTAACACACAATTTCAAAATGTATTTTTTTTTTAAATTGAAATTTGATATGTTAAAAAATTGGTTAAGGTACCTGGAGTATGTTCATCGCCTGATTCATTTTGTTCTTCAGTGTGATCTAAAAAGAAATAACTTTACTAGCATGATTTTGTAAAACATATCAAATTAAAAATGAAAAGTAAAGTTAATTAACCTTTTCCTTAAGTTAATTACCTTTTCCAAAAATATTAATGACAAAAGAAGAACCACCAGTTATTAAAAATATTTGTTAAAAATAAATAAAATAAAGGCATATTTCACATTTATTGTATAAATCAGAAAAAACATGCATTTTGATTTAGTTCAATTTTTCGCATGCTTTTAAAATGCAGAATGTATACCAATATCCATGTGCATTACACCGGTAGACAGGACATTGACAACATGGTCATTTTCGCTTTCAAGATCATGGCCATCTTCCATTAATTCTTCTTCTTCTTCTTCTTCTCCCTCCACCTCTTCTTCCTCCTCCTCCTCTTCTTCTTCTCCTTCTGCTACATCTTCTTGATCAAAGTCACCGTCGAGGTCTCCATAGTCATCATTGTCAAATTCCCCATCATCGTCGTCATTGTATTCCTTGTCACTGTTATCGTCCTGGTCATTACCATCATCATTTTTATATCGAATTCTTGGCAGCAACTGGGCCAACCTGGCTTTTATATCATCCGGCAGGAATTCTTCAAGCCCACGGCTGGCGTCCAAGAGTTCATCGTCTGACAGGTCCACTCCGTACACCCTTTGACGCACCTCACCTGTCAAAATAGGTCAAAATTAATGCAAAGTGTTTTTTTAGACCGGAACGGTAAAATGGAAAATTACATTCGATTGTGATGATGGTAAATAGGACGACACCACGGAGGTCCCTCAGAATGTGTTTCTTTGCATGATTGGGTCGAGGTGGAGGGCGGAAAGGTTCCATTTGCAGGTCAAAGTTCAAATCTTCGATTTCATAATTATACCTGTCAATCGGCACATTCATAAACTTGGTAAGCAAAGATGGAAGACCCAGGCAATGGAATTCCAGAGCTGCTTGCGTGCTAAGCCTCGAAAAGTCTATCAACGTGTTTAGTATTATTAAAAGCAGCTGAAAAAAAACAAAAAAAAACTGCAAAATCTTTTTTAAAAGCTAATAACAGCACTTTGGACATACCTTTTCTTCAGAATATACCCTATGATAATGCATAATCTGTAAAATAAATCAAGTTACAACAAAAACGCATAAAACCTTAAATGCAGAAAACAGAATTACATAGTCAGAATTGAGCCATATGTAATTTGTGAATGCTTGCGTGAAGTCTGCCGCTAGCAATTCCTCAGGCACGTAATGACTCAAGAGGTTAATTATCTGGCAAATACCGATATCTAAAGCTTTGGTCCTTTCAGTAAAATCTGCCGGAACCCTCTTTATACTCAGAAACCTAAAGATGTTGATTACAACACATATAAAAGGCAAAAGTTAAAAATATAAAAAAAAAGGACAAACCTGAAAATTGGATCTAGTCCAAACTTGGCAAAAAGCTGGGCATACTGTGTGAAATTTAAAACATTTAACATATAAATTATAATACAAAGGCCATAGTTGTCGAAATCCCATTCGTTGGCTTCCAGCTCTCCTGAGATCAACTTATCAAAAACATATTTGATCTACAAAAGAAAACATCAAATAAGGAATATAATTAATAATAATGACTTTAAAATTACACACTTTCTTAAAAATAAATATTGCCAAGTCAGGTACTATGTCAAAAGGTTTTTCGGGATCGATGGCGAACTTTGAGCTAATCAACACACAGTGATTCCAAAGTAATGTGAAACTCAACCTTTCCTCGGTGGTCCAAGCCAACTAAACAAATATTGTATATTTAATATTACTACATATTTACATATATTTATAATAATCTCTTAAGTGAATGTGTTGTTTTTTTCAAAAGAAATTAAAAGGAGATTAAAGGAGGGTTCAATATTAATCATATTGCATCCAGTTAGTTAAATAAAAAGTTTGCAACTTACCTTACTTCTACTTGTTTCAAACACAGGTATACATAGTTTTATCAAGTTGTAGACGTTTCCCAGTAAATTCGAATTGTTCATGTTAATGTAAGTCACACAATCCCTCGAATAGGTCAAACCAGATATCAGAGCGACGACAGTTGAGTGGAACTTTCTTGGCCATGCCAAATCGCATTCCTCGAGGATGTTGTTGAACTTGTTCAGACACGAGGATGTTGTTAGAATAAACAAGTCATCATTCTGAAAAATAAACGTAAGAAAAATCATGTCTTATGACAACAGTAGGACTGAATGCCGTGCGTACCCTGGTCTCATTTGAAGAGACATATTCCAGAAGTAAGCTGGCAATCTCTGCACACCTTACAAGGCTGCTTCTGGGATTTTCAAGGTCTTCGACTAACTTGATCTGCTGGCCGACAGATAAAATTATCCTTGGCGTTTCCTTGGGTGCAGAAAGGATTTGATGATTGTGGAACGATATTGCATGATTTTCATGTGCAGTCATTTTTGTAAATTGAGCCTGGAAAACATGTCAATAATATAACGCAATAATCCATTCAACAATTTTTTCTTAGTACTATTACAGTATAGTACATTGTGAGATTTAAAAAAACCGTTTTCCTTTAACACAGTAGTTGCATCAGGTAGAATAATGGCATATAAGTGTTCATGGAGATTTCTCAGAGATAGCCGTTTGGAAGTCTAGAACGCCCAGCAGGCTGTTGTGGGTCGCCGTAGGTGTCCGAGCCCTGTGCCCTGTTGGGGGTTGGTTCGGGTGGGACAGGGGGAAATCTGGGCATGTTAGCCTGTTAATAATGTTAATTTCTATGTACTAGTTTTTATCCACATCTCCAAAGAGGTCACAGCATGAAAGTAAGGTTAAAGTAGATTTCATTGATTCCCTTCCTCACCCATTGCGGGTTGACTCTGTCCGGCATGGGTCACTGGTGGCCTAAGCGTCCCACTGATATTGGCCAGATATCAGTAATAGATAAGGCCAGTAAAAAAACTTACCTGTGATACATAATATATAAATAAACCACTCAATATATGCACTACAAATAACACGGGTGTGAGCGTATGCATTCCAAAAAAATATTTTTTTGAAGAAAAGTCATACAAAATAATGAAGACTGGATATAAATCTTCTGTTTATGTAACAATTGTGGCACTGAGTAAATGAAATGTACCAAAAAATAAAAATATCAGCTTGCCCAATTACACTTGATATTTTTCTTGTTTTATTCTAAGAACTTAAAACAACAACTTTTCAATTCTAAATTAATACAGAATATTGTAGGTTTTCTAATTTTTTTCCACAGAGATTACAGCAATGACACAAATCACATATTATATTACTTCATTATTATTACATAATGTATATATGTCTAGAGATATAGATCAAACGTACAATGAAGAGACCATAAAATTCGGAAGTTATCACCATAATTTTTTTCCAGGAAATATGGCTCGTTGTTTTTTTCGGCGTGGAGTACATCGTGAGGTTATGGTCGGCTGGATGCAGGTCGAAGTACATGGGATGCTGCGGGCGTTTTAGATTCGTTAGAAAACCGATTTGTATTATTGGTAAGTGGGGGGAGCTTGGGAACTTTGATCCAAAGGTAGTTTAAACAAAAAAAAATCTGTTTCCCTTTCAGATCTCATAGTTGTAGTCGCTTCGATAGTCGTCCTGACAGTAGGCTCCAATGGCCAAGTGTTCGCCACTTCGGCAATCCGGGGTATCCGTTTCCTCCAGATTCTACGGATGCTTCACGTCGATCGACAGGGCGGCACCTGGCGACTCCTTGGTTCTGTAGTTTTTATCCATAGACAGGTAAGATGAAAAACGGTGCGATAAAACTAATACTAGTGGTTATTTCAAGCTATTTAATGAAACAAATACTTTTGTAATCTCCATTTTTTCAGTTTGAACGAAAGGAAGAATCAAATGTTACATTTAATTGCTTTCATTGTTCCTGTTTTAATGAATGTAAATATACCATGATATAATTGTAGGAGTAATCGAAAAATTAAACAATTAACCGAACTAATTGTTAATGAATATGACAAACAAGAAGTATGAGTATTTTTCCAAAAAATTAACGATTTCTTCATTTCTAGAAAAATATCGGTCATCCAGCTGAAATATACAAGAGTGACATACAAAACATTGATCATATATTTTATTTTTTATGGAAATCAATTCGAGGGAATAGATAGTAATTTTTATTAGGCATTTAGAAATAATCCAATAGCTTTGGGTCTTCAGAATAAGTGCAATGTGCATAAGTGTGAATGTATTTACTTGAGCAAATGTATTATAGAAGTTAAGTTTTAGGCTAGATTATAGAAAACCAGATATTTTTTAGTTGCACCTATTTAACCACAGTAATGATTTAAATTGATATTTTTGTAAAGTGCGGTTGTAATTATGTAGTTAGAATGCATTGGGGGCTGAAATTACCTAGCTAACAAAAGCACCTGTTGGTTGGGAAGCGACGATCTCCTGGGCATTCGGTTTAAATATACTAAGCGACCCTCCCGGGTAACGGGGTAGGTGGCCACTCCTGAGGTATAGACCCTTGGGTGAACACATCAGTTAGTAGCAACCCTTTGGTTGTTACAATGTCCAGTAGTTCTGTAGGAGGGGAAACAACAGAAAATATAAAACACTGAGATAACTCTGGAAGAAATGTCGATAAAACACGCAGTGTATCGCTTAAAAAAGATCTTGCCGAAACGACTTCCGCTAAATTTACGCAATACATCTATCACAGATAATCTATACAGATATCACACGAATAAATCTATTCGAACATACATGAAACTCAAAAGAAGGCCAAAACACCAACCATTTACTATAAGCCTTGAAAGAAAAAACGGCAAATAACACCAGAATCCAACTGAAAACCCCAAACTGGCATGGCACATGGTGATAGTTAAAACATGATTTAGTGATAAAATCGGTCATCCAGATATAATATACAAGAGTTACGTACAAAACACTCCGATCATATGTATGTTTTTTTCTCTGTGGCTTTCAACATTTCATACGGGTCTATTTTATTTTTTGCGGTTTTAACTGACTCACGAACCCTTGCTTAATACTATAATAATTCTGTTCCATTAACTAAATTTTTATAATTTCCCTTAATGAATCACATCCTTAATTCAATTACCGAGATTTAATTGAACAATCTTTGTGTCTTCTGTATCAATGAAGTCAGGCGATGACAAATCATCAATGTTTTTCAGCCAAAGCGATTAAAAATGGAAATGATTTGTTTATATTTTAGCTGGTAAAATAAAGTAAATGTAATGTTTTGTGTTTCAGGAATTGATAACAACACTTTACATCGGGTTTTTAGGGTTGATTTTCAGTAGCTATTTTGTTTATTTGGCTGAGAAAGACGCGGTCGGCCCAGATGGAAAAACGGATTTTTCCAATTACGCCGATGCACTGTGGTGGGGAGTGGTATGTAAAACATTTAATGATATTAAAAGAAAAAAAACTTCTACAGCTAAATTTCAAAATCATTTTCAGATAACAGTAACAACGATTGGATACGGGGACGCAGTACCACACACGTGGATGGGCAAAATCGTGGCGTCTTGTTTCAGCGTCTTTGCAATATCGTTTTTCGCCTTGCCCGCTGTAAGATGTCTTTAATTTAAACTAATTAAGGTTTTTAGTTGAGATAAAAAAGTCAGTGTCAAGAGCGGTATTCGAACCCACGACCTTCGGCTAGATAGCTGCTACTCTACCACTTGAGCTATCGTGACTTCGATCCACTCGGACACTAACTTCCCATCTCAAACCCACCTTTTGAATTTTCGCTCCTTTTTGCCATTTTTCAAATGTCGTGTAATCTATTTGATTATCGGCGACTTTTTTATCTCAACTAGAAACCTTAATTAACTGAAAGATATCAATTGGTCAAGCGGATCACAAAAACTAGTGAATTTAATTTAAACTTGGGTCCCCTTATTCACCGAATTATATTTTCAGGGTATCCTGGGTTCGGGGTTCGCACTCAAAGTCCAGCAGAAACAGAGGCAAAAGCATTTCAACAGGCAGATCCCTGCGGCAGCAATGCTAATCCAATGTCTTTGGAGGTGTTACGCCGCCGACAAATCCTTTAAGGGAAACGCGACCTGGAACATTTATGTAAAAGACATGTCCAATTCCAAAGAGGCACCACCACCGACAAAGGTAAAGGTACATCTAATCCGGTTAATAACACAGTAATCCCATTTTTAATTATCGTCTTCATTGCCTCGTACTGACCCACAAAGGTTTTTAAGGTAGTACATAAATCAAAATCAAAACTTTTTTTTCCATTACATCCATCTTTTCTTCTGAATGCTTTATTTTTTATTTTTTTTAATTACAAATGACTTTTAACAAGCTTTTTGTCTGATGCATTTTGAACCTTTTATTAGAGTGTAATTTTATTTAGTATCACATCACATAAAGAATTTCATTGTCAGGTCTTTGTCTGACTTGTGCTGCCTGACATTTTATATTTCTTCATTTCACCATTTATCACAAATTTATTGAACTATTCTTTTTTACAAGATGCCCAGGTAGAACTCTGTAGTTGATTAAGGAGATTTTGCTACAATTTGAACTTGTAGTACAGAACGTCTTATCTTATAATAAAACGTATAAGACAAAGCAAAGAGAGAAACTGCAAAAGTTTAATTTGTTTAGCATTATTTGAAGCTGCAATAAAATATATTTATTATTACTATGTGCTTTCCTAGTTTACTTGAGAATACGATTTTAATTTGAATACTAGAAATGATACTGTATTTTGCTTTATACTATAAGACTTCACCAGCGATTTGTGCATGATAATTAAAAGAAATTTCTATTTAACAAAGCTTTATGCACGATTAGTTAAAAGGTCGAACGGAACTGATTTTAAATCATAAAAAGACATCTAAAAAGACACACTTAGTTAATGATTATGCACCATATTCTGGAGCTAGCATAAAGATTTTATAAATTTGCTTCTTCCATCTTCTAAATATCTGCCGGTCCGTTCTAGTCGCTCATGCTTCAAGTTGCAAAAAAAGCCAGCGTCCTAAAAAGAAGAAAGTCCAAAAACAAAATGGAGCCGCCGCCCTCGACGGCAAACACACCGGGCTCAATGGAATGCAACAACACCATGAGAAGGGACAGCGAAGGAGAAGTCGTCTTTTACATCGAAGAGCCGAAAGCCGGTAAAAATACTGATTCATACATCACTCACATATCTCGCGAGGGATAAAATCCAATTGGAAACCTGGATAATAGAATTTCAAAATTGTTTTTTGTTTTTCAGGAACTCCAAACAGAATCAGAAGAGACGGCAACACGTTTCGAGGGCTTGTCAGTCAAACGAGCAGCGTTACGGAGGTCGCGAGTGACGACATGGATCTGGACTTGGAGCCAGAACGAATTACCGAGTATTATGATAATATTTATTATACCGACTGAACTACTTTTTGTCCACAATTTAAACTACCGATGATCAACTCAATAAAACTAGACCTGTCCCCAATATTTAACAGTTATAACTAAAAAATGCAATAATATCGATGTCTATTATTAAGAAATATGTTTAGGTTGACCGAAGTGCACAAAAACGCTATCCGGGCTATCAGAAAAATCAAATACTTCGTCGCACGGAGAAAATTCCAGCAGGCCAGGAAGCCGTACGACGTGCGGGACGTTATCGAGCAGTACAGCCAAGGCCATTTAAACATGATGGTCCGAATAAAGGTAAATAGAAACTTTTTTTTTTTAATTTATTCATCAGACATGAAAGTTTTGTAGGAATTGCAAAGGCGACTGGATCAGACTTTAGGGAAGCCGGGAAGCTATTTAGGAGGAATCGATAGAGCGGGAAACATCAAACCGATGACAATAGGTGCACGGCTTTGCCGCGTAGAGCAACAGGTGAGACTGTCGATTCTTCTTATTTAAAAACAAACAGTCAACCGAGTCTTTTGAATTCTAGTTGTCGAACATGGACAGAAAGCTCGATCAACTGATGTACGTGCTGAACACTCAAGCTCACAAGCACACCATCGAAGAACAGGTGTGATAATCAACCGGCGGTTCAAGAATTGTACATTAAAAATAATCCATACTGTTTGATGATTGTAAACCATGCCGAGGTTTTCCTTCCACGGCAATGTTATGTTGAATGTTTGTTTAATTATTTAGAAATCGCCGAAATGGTAAATAATGCCTGCTGTCAACTTTAGACGACTGGCAATTTAATGACATTATCATTAATGTGTAAAGACAATCATAAAGACTAACGCTTTCATGGCTTATCGATAATTTTGGCTTGAAGCAAATAGAGTGAAATTTATTCCTAGGCGACATTTTTAAGTCGGAGTCGGTCTGAGCTGTCGTGGTCAAAAAGAGTTTAAAAATAAATATTGTAATATAAATACAGACAAATACTCATTTGTTCAAAACTACTGATCTTAGATTTAATAATGAGATTTTTACTTATCATAGAATTTTTGTAAGTTGCTTAATAAATCTTTAGCAGGATCACTCAGGGAAGCAATAGCAAAACAAAATTTTGTTTCAATATATATTTTTTTATTTTTTGTTTGTTGTATTGAACAATTTAAACAAAAAGTGAATTCCATTTTATGAACAAGATTCGAATGTTTTTATATAAATGAATTTTAATTAACGAAATATATGAGTCTTTGAATTTATTTCCAAAATTCAGCTTTGTCTTGGTATTGCTTCCTAGTAGAAATCCACTGTTTAGAATTCATCTTTGTTTTTACTGCTGTATATATTGTAATAAAGTTCCATCAGTAGAACTAATACAATTTTTAGCTTCTTATAATTAAAACTCATGTAATATAATTTCTTCCCCTGTATTATACCGGACTCATTTTGTACAAGGGCGACTATGTAGAATTGTTATAATAAAAAACTCATTACCAGTCATTTTTTGATTTTTGCTAAAGTTAAATTTAAAGGATAAATATCAAGTGCACTTTTCTCTGATGGAACTGAAACGCTCTCTTAAGTGATCTGAATCTAACTTTTAAAAAATATGAAGCTATGTTTTTTCTATGAAACAGAACTAGAATTTTTGTAATAAAGTTAGGGTCCAATAAACCGCTTTCTACATAGGGCAATCGATTTTTATTCGATTTCTGATTGACCAACAAGGAAGTTAATTCAATAATTTGACATGGGGATTGTAATGGGCAAGTAACGATTTTTCCCTGACCTAAATCACAAAAACGAAGCAATAATAACTCTTATATTGAAAGCAATGGATCCTCGTGTCAAATTCCTTTTGTGCCTAACTAATTGTTGCATATAAAATGTATTGTCTTACGATTAGATATCTTTTGTAAATATTGATTCTCCATTGTGGTAATAATAAATTTGCATCACAGTGCTGTCAATGAAAATATTTTATTAAATCAAGATAACTTAAAAAACGCTCTCTATAAAAATAAAAATAAACGTTAAGGCATAATTGCCTTATTATTGCGAACTCCTTAAACGACAGTGGAACAAATCATTAACAGCACTGCCTGGGAGCAATAATACATATCTTACACAATATAGAATTAAGCTGTTATGAAGACTTCTTTCCTAGAGTCCTTATTAGTGTACGTTCCGTATTTCAAAACATCGGTTAAAAATAATTTTAGAATATAATCGATTAATCATCATGGTGTCGGGTCCGGATTTATAGTTCGTATATAATCGCCAAAACACCTCTTGAAAACTTATTTTAGAAAAACAAAATGTAACTTAATTGATCTACTAACTTAGATAAAATGATATGTAGTAATATATTTAAATAAAAATCTATCTTTTAATAATAAAAAAATGTACATAGCGTTTGAAGAACTGTAACAATAATCCTAAGGGTAAAGAAATTGGTCTGAAAACATCGTCTTAATCATAAATGCTATTTTTTATTTTAGATGTGACCATTTTTGAATGAAGTACAACAAGAGGTCCAAAATCAGTTTCTAAAACATTCCCACCCCATTCTTTTTAAGTCCAAATCGTGAATGTGAATGAGAGTCTCAAATCAACCCCTTGCCCTGCCTATGAATCAGAGATTCTAAATATTTTGATATCGATTGTACAGTAGAATAAGGAGAGCTCCCTCTATATATATTACTATTACTTGTAACATTTTTTTGTTCATAAATAGTTTCTTAAGAAAATTATTTTTAATTACAGTGAGCAATTATTTTGGCCTAAAGTGCTTGTAGCAATTAATTAATTTTATTAATTTCGACTTTATAAAAAACTATAATAATAACTAATCTTTAAAAAATGTTATATAAATTTGTTGAAAAATGATATAAATACATATCTTCTGTGATATTGTGTTATTGTGCTTATACTTAAAGTTGACAGTTTATTCGTTAAAAAAAATGTCGAATTCGTTGTTCTGTTAAAGGACCATTGAATTAAATTCAGTAGAAAATTACGTTTCTGTACAATTCAACCGCTATATTTTGTAAATGTCCCATAATATTTTGTTTATGTATTTTGACTCTACGTTAAGAGCGACTTGTAACTGTGCAACGAACAATATTATTACTGACTATTGTTATGGTTTTAATTTTCATATTTCAATTGTAACACTTTTTATGTGTGTTTTGATTAGATTAGAGAACATTTATTTCTCTTTTTTTTATAAAAAAAAAGCACACAGTTTTCCACTTTTGTGAATATAAATCATTAATGAACATATATATATTCTTGATTATTAGCTTATTAGTAACTATAGGAAAGATAAGACTATACTTTACTGTTAAGTATAATAAAAGCAAAAATTGCAACGGTATTATGCTTTATCAAATTTGGCTAATAAGCCCCTCCCAGAGAAAATTAAAACTAATATTGACAAGTTTAGCCTTGTCAATAGTTTGTATTGATTAGATTTAATACATTTACAAAACAGTAGTGTACATTTATAAAGTAATTGTTTTAAAAATTGTAGTTTTTTCTTTTAAATTTATAACAGTTTGAATCATATCGTCGGGGACCACAAAAGCGCTACCGGAGTCGGTGAAAAAAGACCACGATTTGGCTGGTATTCTGCACGAGAACCAGCACGATGCACGCCTCGCGGCGCCTTTTTGGAGCATTTATGTGGTGCCAACGATTTTTTAAATAACTATACTTTCTCAATTGTACATTAAATGCACAAACAGAATTGATAATTAACAAAATTATACAAAGTGTAGTTGTTTTCATTCAAAAGTATCTTTAATAGAACATTTTAATTATCTATGCATTACCAACAAAAAAATTATATTCTCAGTCATTTGTTTTATTTACCCTAAACCCGACGCGTTTTAAATGTTTAAACGATAAAATGCTTTGTACTCACATTTACTATCGCCTTTCGATGTATAGATTTTATATCATTAAATTATTGGTTTCTAATGTATTTGCATTTTAAAAAATGACGTTTTTGCATTGCATCACTTAAGATGATTGCGAAAGGGCTGTATTATTTTATTTGTCTTTGTGTATGAGATGTATAATTAAGAACCTACCATGATTTTAAATTAGAAAGCTTAAGCTTTAAGAAAAAAAATCACTTTAAGCAATTTTCAGAATATTCTTTGGAATGGGCGATGTAAAATTGAGCCGACCCCATAGGATTAACCAAGAAGATATGTAAAATGAGCCGGTTATGGTTTTACTACCTGTACCAGGAGATGTAAAATGAGCCGATGGCAGAAGGAAGAAGCTGGAATCATAAGTACATAATGTAGGTGTAATGCCATCAGAAGCACATCCGTCAATTAGACAAATCCTGAATTAGAGGTACATTATGTAGATGCAATGTCGTCAAAAACTCATCAGTCAATTTAAACAAATAATTAATTAGTTATTAGCCGAAGGTTGTGGGTTCGAATACCGCTCGTGACACTAACTTTTTCATTTCAACCAATACCTTACATAAAGATTAATTAATTGAAAGAAGTTATTTGGTCAATCGGACCACGAACTATAACAGATTAGTTATTAAGTTCACTAATTTCGTGGTCCGCTTGACCAATTAATATATTACAATTAATTAAGGTTTTTAGTTGTGATAAAAAAGTCAATGGCACTCAACAGCTCAAGTGGTAGAGCAGCGGCGTATCAAGCCGAAGATTGTGGGTTCGAATCCCGCTCGTGCCATTGACTTTTTTATCAACTAAAAACCTTAATTAATTGTAATTAGTTATTAAGGGTGAACTTTACTGTACACAGCGCTGCGCCTGCCAACCAAATGCTGCTGATTTCGTGATTCGCGTGTACTGATAACTGTGGAATTGTTGTGAAACGCGAATTTAAATACAAAACCAACATGACACCACAAGAATAACACCACACTTTATGTGGGTATGAAATACTTGGTTCAAAATTTATATTTACATCTATAATTGATTTTTTTTTTTCAAATCAACAAATGTTTTGTAATTCACTTAGGCCCTGAAGATGACCCGAATAAAAGTCGAAACGTCGGCAAAAAAAATGAAAAAGGTGTTTTTCTAAACTACCTCATTCTCGTTCGCTCTTCATGACTTCAACAAATTATCGAACAACCGGTCACTAAAAAATACCCTTTTTTCTTTTTTTAGTGTATTTGCATTCTTTTTAAATCCACACATTTATTTTGCATTCACACACCTAATTTTTTCTGATTTATTTATTGTTTTTTCTTACAAATAAAAGTATTACGTTGCTTTAATAATATATATATATATAAAAGTTAAAACACCGAACATAGATGGTTTGACGTCGTGTTTCCATCTTTACACTCAGCCGGCTTTATTTACCCACCGGCTCGATTTACATAGTCATTGCCTGACACTTCTCTTTAACTGAATCATTTTACATCAGAGATTAAGGTTGGCGAGCCGTACCTCAGGTAGCGGTGAGATCGGCTCAATTTGCCATCGCCCTTTGAAATGATTTGACAAGATGTCAGTACAGCAAAATAAACGAGCGACTTCAGAGCTGGACGGAAACCATGGAAAATGGAAATACTCTTCGGCGAAGTCTTACGGAGTTCATGGATGGTACTGGGAATGGTACTTGAGCTGGACAACGGGGCCGTACTCGTCCGGAATGATCTCGCCGAATTAGCAAGTGGTCTGCTCCGCCATACCTTTACTGATCGAGGTACGCCGGTTTAAAATTCGCCTTCATAGACTTCTAAAACCGCCGAGGGTGATTTGGTTCGCGCTTGGGGTGATTGCGGACGATGGTGGCTCTGCCTACACTCCCTCAGGGGGACTCGGTAATTCTGTCCGTGACAGGTCTCCGTCGACCCTCTCGTGTACATGTTGTAAGATAACACGATGGGGTGTCTCGGCAAAACGTTTGTTCTTGTCTGGGTACCCGGACAGATAAGTCTGAAGGCGGACAAGGCAGCAAGGCCAGGACAGGACGTCCCATCTTCCGGACTCAACTACCGCGATCCTGCCCTCTGACGCACTAAAAAACACGATTTGGAGAAAACCGCATCATCGAAGGGCCGGATAGCACAGATCACGGTTCAAGAGCACTGTCGATGGGTCGCACTCAGAAAACTAACTCGAAGGTCACCCTCTCCCGATTAAGGATAGACCATGCGAGGTTGACACGGACACTCACTTTTGGGCCAAGCCAGCCCACGCATGTGTTCAGCATTGTGCGTTGTGCCCCACTTCATTCCTTGACTGCCAATTGAATCTCCCCACGATATGAGAGTTGAGCACGACAGAGAGTATTTAGGACTCCTGTTCTTATTTTCGGAGAAAAGAGATTGTTTTTATTGCATACGGATATAAGTATTGTTTTGTGCACGCTAGTTTGGGTTGAGAATTAACGTATTTATTAGCGTGAATGTGTAGTGTGAGAGGGCCAATGGCAGATTAATAAGAACCCCATCGAACCTCATTTAGAGTAGGCTGTTACACTGAATGTATTTATTGGCGTGAATGTGTAGTATGAGAGGGCCGATGGCGGAATAATAAGTACCCCAACGACCCTCATTTAGATTAGGCTGTTATATAAATATGTGTGGAGGGTGACAGAGGAATATCAAGTACTCCTCCACCCTAACTGTGTGAACGTATTTGAGAGTGAGTGAGCGTGAATGGATAGAGGATTTGGTTGCGTTGGAGGGTGAAATGACCTAGCTGTTAATAACCTGTAGAGCCCAATCCCAGTGTGCGTACGGATAAGACCCGATAGGACTTCCCGGGGGTGGTCATTCTCGAGACCTGCCACTATTTTTTTTTTTTAATTTACATAAATGGCTCAACTCTGAACACGGGCGCATGTGTGTACATGCATGTGCAGATTTTAGCTTATATAAATCAGTAGTTAGATACCCCGATAAACATCAACTCCGTGATGAAAAATGAAAAAGTAAGTTATAAATTGCGATATTATAAAGAACAGAACCGCCTTGCATAAACAATACACCACATAAAATATTCCTACAGTAAAAAAAAATCGTAAGAGGAACCAAATCAGCAGATTCGCAATTTTTAATCAACAGTAATTGAAGAAATTTATAAGAATAACTGTATATTGTGTTATCAATTTGCGATTATTCACATTCAAGAAAAAATAAAAATAAAAATAAAAAACCATGTTAAAATCAACCATGTTAATAAAAAGCAACCATGTTTTTTTACCATGGATTTAAACCTCAAGATGATGTATTGAAACTGAATGCAGAAATGTTTTTACTGACGGTCTGTTTCTTCTTTGTTAACTGTTATATTATTAATTAAGCTTATTAAAGATAAATTAATTGAATTAATTAAAATTATTAATTATGTTCTTCAAAAGCTCGACGTAAGAACAGATTGTTTTCTAACAATTGGCCAGAAATTAAGTGTAGTCAATAGAAGTTTACTTTTCAATAAACCGCGTTGGAATAATTAAACAGACAGTTTAGAAATGAGTAGTTTGGCCGTTTATCATTTTGGTCCGCTTATCCTCGCTGCTTCGGTCAAGTTTAAGCCAAAAAAAGTTCAATGAGGGACTGAGTTTTTTAAGTGTTGCCTCAGTGATAATTTTGAACAAATGAGCCTGAGAGGCCGAAAATGTAAAAATAATCGCAGGCTACAAAAGAACAATTAATCAATTTTAACCGTTTTTGTAAAATGTAAACGTTGTTGTTTATCCTAAGAAAGCTCTCGCTTAAATCGAACCAATACAAACACTGAAACCCAAACAAAAATGAATGATTTTTAGAAGATTTCGTTAATAAATTTACACAATTTAAGGAAATAAAGTTCGAGATATTCGGAAAATGTTTTTAAGTTGCATATAATGGTTAAAACCATCTTGAAAAGAAAAATACGCTTGAAATATTAATACTCAAGGTAATGTTTTATCATCTTTAAGATAAATTTTACATTTTTTGAAACAATTTATGATGAAAATTAATACTGACACTTTTTAGTTAACTGACTGCTATTTGTTCACTGTTGTTTCCGCTCAGTACAGACATCTCCAGTTGAATAGTTTAATCGGATTTCTCATAATTACAACTGAATTTAAATAAATTGCTAATTCCTAGTTTTGCGTGTTAAATTGTCGGGATGAAATTAATAGATAAATTTCTTACCTAGCAAGGCTGACAGCGTTGCTCCCTTTTTCCCCTGAGCGGACAAGATGTAAATAAACATTGGCGAAAGGCCCGGCGCGCTTGTGAGCGATGGACGTTTTCGTCGAGGTTTACGCCGCGGACGGTGAAGGTTTCACGCAGTGTTGCCTCAGCCGCGGTGGCAAAATATTTCCCGCTGTCATATTTGCCGATGCCCTCGAACTTCCACCCTTACCTATTTATGTAAAAAAGTAGCTTTTGAGAGTGCCAACAGACTCCTGAAATAAAAGGAAATAAAGTCAGATCTAAGGAGGAGTCGTTACTGGGCAGGCTATTCCGTGGTTCTCATAGAATGGGAACCCAGACATAAAAGATGTGAAATTGTGGATGGTAGCGCATACATTCACACCCGTCTAAGTCAAAGGGCATGCCAAAAAGAATCATGATAACAATTGACAAAAGTTACCACTATCAGATGCATACAGAGCAGTGTGGACTGTGGGGTGTGACCTATAGCAATAGGGTTATTTTGTACAGAGCAATAGAGGAATCAGTTTTGTTGCATGCCGTTCTTGCATACAGTGGGTTTTTCTTTAATTTTGTACTGCCAGCAAAGAAAATAAAGTAAAAAACCAGTGGGACATAGTCATAGACGTTGAAGGTTATAAAGTGCAGAGCCTTTTGCACTTCAATTTAAAAGAGTCAGGTTGCATATTGTGATAATTATGTTGTTAATAGGTTTTATTATTACTGTTACTTATTGGACAAAGCATCTAGGCAAAGAAGCCTGGACACATATTAAACAATCACATAAAACTATAACAAAGGCATACAGAACAACCAAAGCACTGAAGCTAATGTCAAGCCAAATGCCAATTCATTTATAAGTTAAAATGAGGATAGCGAAATGGGAAATGACCACAGACTAACATCTAGCTTCCCGGGCATTACAGCAGCCGAACAAATTGATGACTGAGCCATGGTAAGTGAGGTGGGTAACTTGTCCGGCAAATGAATAACTTTAATCTTTCCAATTATAATAAGGCAACTGAAAATAAAGCACCTTGAAGTCGAACATTACTTGGCACAGTTGGGTCTAGCTTTTTATTTAGATGTAAATATAACCAAATGAATGATATAAAATTAATATGTAAATGAATATTGAACTAATGTTTGGTACACTAAACCCATTCACTGATAGGCCACCTGGACGTTGAGTAACATTTGCTGACCGATATTTGGTCATTAATATATTATTTGCACATCTTGAATTGCTTTCAAAACATTGATTTAAGATCAATAAAACTGATCACTTACCCGAATATCAATATAATTAATCTGTGTTAAGAATATTAACTAAGCTATTAACTAAGCATAAAATTTGCAACAAAGCTGTTCCTGTTGTGTTTGATTCCTCTACAATAGTGTTTTGCTGTAAAAAATATTGCGTTTAATACTAGATTGTGATTACATTCTGTGATTTTGAATGAGGAAGGGCATAAATGTGAAAGAATTGTTCATATCAACATGAAAAAAACATTTATTTACAATATCTCTATGAGCTATATAGTTAAAACAATTACAGCCTTCGTTGTTTTCGAGGTCGTGGTGGCCACCATGAAACTGGAGTACTGTCTGTAATTGATATTATGTTTAACCCAGCCATCTGCAGACCTTTTATCGCAGACTGAAAAAAAAATTAAAATTAAAAATCATTAATCATTGACATGCCTCTATCATAGAATATACCATTCGTCCAGGTCCAAGGCCCTGAATGCGAACCCTAATTGTTCCATATCCTTTCCTTACAGCATTCTGAAAAAATAAATTACACAATACTGTTTACAAAAAAAACTTCAACTTTAATTCGTCATTAAAAAAAAAAAAAAAGCCAATAAATACACTCAATCTCAGCACACACTAGCCAATAATTAAGTAGTAAAGGCACCCTTCAATTAAGTAGTAAATATTGAACAATCTTTCTCTCTGCCTGCCAGACACACACACGTTACATGAAAAATAAAACTGTACTATATACAATATGTATATAAATAAAATAAAAGACTGATTTATCATTTATGTAAGTCGGAATTTCCTTATTGGTTAACCAAGTTATGGAGTAATAATAAATGTTAAAAAGAATTAGCCTTATACGTTATGTATGTTGGCCAATATTAGTCTATTGGCACAATATTATAATTAGATATATAAAAAATATATTTAAGTTAAAAATAATAATAATTAAAAATAAAAATTGCAAATTAACATGCTAAAGCCCAATGGTGATAGAAATGGTGACATTTTTCGATTGAGATGGCATGGAAGAAACCAAGATATCAGGTGACTTGGACCAATCAGTTATATTAATATATTCCCAAGTAGTTATATGTATTTACTAATTTGATGAAATATGTAAGAGTAAGAGCATAATACATAAATATATACATTATTTTGGTGGAAATAAAACTCAAAGGGATATTAAAGTTCTAAATATGGTAGAAGTGGACAGACAGAAGTGTTGAACCTAATTTGGTCATTGATGCAATAGACCTAGCACTGAAGGTGGCAAGGCTAAAATGACCTCAGGTGGTCCGTAAGTGATCACTTTTCTGAAGTAGTGGTTATGTAAACCATCGAGGACAGACCGACCCAGAAAAGTTATCAGTGTCAAATCATTTCGATATCATATTATTTAAACAACTTACCGTTCCGAATGTGATGGCTGTCGCTTGAGCTGCAACGTTCGAACCTTTTCTTGTATTTTTGAAACCTTCAATACCACAAGATCGTATCAACTTCACTTCACCTGGAGCCAAATTTACATGATAAAATGTGATAAGAGTAATCATGTTAAAATTTGAGCAATACCTGTTTTTGCTTCCGTCATGGTAAAAATGGTGTTGTTCCTAGAAACTCTGATGTTACAAATGGGAACTTGAGAAAATGGTATGCCGTTGAACAACACGTTCATTGTATTTCCTGTAGGAAACATGTCATCCCGGCTAAAAGTCAAATCAGAACAACAAATTAAAAATGAAGGTTTTTTTCTACTGAATCAAACATTTTTGGGTTAGTAGTATTAAGTACGTTTGAATAATGGCATCGACGTTGATTGACTTTTCTCCCTCGGTACCATCGTCTATGGGAGGCAGGGACGCCCTCACATCTTCTTTTCTATTGAACGTGCAGCTCGTATGAATCGATCTCGACCCGATATAAGCTTCCTGCCTGCAGATGCTCATCTGCGGTAAAAATTTCGGCAGATTTCTGGCTATCCGGGTGAGAACGAACATCGTGTCTGAGCCTTGTTTATTTCCTGCCTGCAGCTTATCTGATAATGGAAGGGAAGGGAGAGCCACTGTTTCAACCTCGGGATCGATCATGATTGAAGAGCGGTGACGTCATGTTTGGTTCCTGGTTAACACCCAAAGACACAGGTAAAAGACGAGATTGAACAACAAACAGGCTAACACAAGCTGCCAATTTGATGATAAACAATTTTGGACAGCCATCAATAACAAACTACAAAAAAAAAATCATATGATTCATTCATCAATATCAACATTATTTGAGGAATGTGTGGTGTTTAGTGACCGTTAATTAATGATTATTTGGAGATTGTGATATGCGGTCTGGTGTGACGTAAGTTTAGAAAAACATTTTCTTTATCGTGCCAACGTTTCGATCTTTATTGAGATCATTTTCAGGACCTGGGATTTATAAACATTGCTTAAACTATACAAATACATGTAAGATGTGAAAAAATGAGTTTATACATTGCTAGAAATTTTAGACTAAATCAAAGTATTTGTACTCACTCAGAGTTTTTGTTTGAATGAGTACAAATACTTCGATCTACTTCATCCATGGGTTGGAACTCTCTCCCTGAAGCAGTTGGGTCAAGCGGGTCGTTTCACAGAAGAACGTAATCCCTAGGAACAAAGCTGTTTGTCGAGGTAGATTAGTGTGAAAACCTTATTTATAAAGTAACACGCCATAATGGAACTAACCCGTTTAAGATAAAACTGAGAATACGTCGAGCGGAAAACTAATCAATGTTTTTATGTATGTGTGGTGTTTAGTGACCGTTACTTGATGATTATTTCGAGGTCGTGAGATTCGGTCTGGTGTGATGTAGGTTTTAGAAAAACATTTTCTTTATCGTGCCAACGTTTCGATCTTTATTGAGATATCTTCAGGGCATTCTTGTGTGTCGTGTAGGCACTCTCAACACGGCACACAATAATGATACATCTATACGGAAAACAAACACTTTGAGCCCTGAAGATGATCTCAATAAAGATGGAAACGTTGGTACGATAAAGAAAATGTTTTCCTAAACCTACGTCACACAAGACCGCATTTCACGATCTCCAAATAATCATTATTGGAGGAGTATAATGTTTCAAATTGCCTAAAATTTAATAAACAAACAAAAATCCCCTTGATGAACCGGCACACGGCCACTTGCGTCATTCTTTTTTAAATAAACAGAGAATAGTTGGTTGAGAATTGTTAGTTTTTTGTTCTATTGATTTAGATAGTTTCTTCTGAAAGTTTGCAATTTTTGTTATGTTATGTTTTTAGTGATAGTGAAATAAATAGTACAATGTTTTTAGTGAAAGTGAGTTTGTTTGTACATCTCTAGGTCCCATGATTTTTCGTCCTTTTTATGCGTTGTATATTGAAGACATGCTTATCTCTGTTGTGTTTGGTTTGTGACTGTGATGTATTAAGTGGTGGCGTAATCTGATTTCCCGTCATTGTCCCAGAAGAACTCTTTCTGCAACTGCTCAGGAGCCTTCGCCATTTCCCCTTCTTTCTAAGCCACGTGTAGTGTTTTCTTATTATTATTAGTTGGGGAGCTATGGTTTGTTTAGCAGAGGTGTCTTTAGCCTATTTTGTTATGCTCGTTTCAGCTCCATCAGATCAAAAAAAACCTTCATTCTGTAAGGCAATTTCAGAATCTTCAAGATTTTGCTGTTCTGTCCCTTCTGAAACTTCCACCAGGAAGGCTCGTGTAGAGCTTTCCAATAGCGCCTTTTCATTCTATAATTTTTTTTTTAATTTATTAAAAGAATTTTTTATTACAATATCCAAAATTATTGATTACGTAATTTAAGGGTACAAAGACATATTTATAACTATTTACATGGTCGCATTGAGGGGAATAACTAGACCCATTATGGGATTGTAAAGATGAAATCTGTTGGAGAAGACTATAGGGGAGTGAGATTTAAATTGTTGTGAAGGGCATTATGGGAGACATAATAAGGAGCATTTGCAATGGATATAAGGACCTTGGCTTTAAAGATTAGATACGTTGGATATTGGAATGTTCAGCGGTTCCTGGCAGTTCTATCGGTTGTAATAGCGTTTTATAAAATGTTTGTTTTTCGTCGATACCTTGGAAGCGTTCAAGTTTATAACTATTTACATGTACATCCAGTTTGTAGAGTAGACCTAGCTTTGTAGGTCTTGTTTCAGTCGTGTCTACTTATTTGGGGTTAATCGTGAGCCTAGGTGGAACACAAGATACGAACGTAGTCTGATTTGGGGATAAGAACATTGTCCTAGCAGATTTTGAGAGGTTTGCTGCGAAGTGTAAATGTGCCGTAAACGCCCTTGCTTTTTTATCTTCACTTTCCATTGCTTGTACCAGTTCATTTCATATATCTTTGCAGACATTCCGAAGCAACTGTAGGATCAGAGCAGGAAGATAGTACAGCTATGTTAATGGCAAAAGAAGGCGTAGTTGGGACGTCTGCGGTATAAAGGATAAAAAGGATTGGTTCAAGCTCACCAACCAAAAAACCATTCTGACAAGTTAGCGCGGAGTTTTAAGTATAGGGTAATTGGAAGGACACACTGTAATTTCCACAAGAGATCTTTGTGCCACATGCTTCCTATCATTAAAATAGTTTATTGAATTTTAGAAATGTTTTTACTTTGTCTTATGTTTTATGATTTGTTAATTTGGCTCCAAACCAGTAGTGGTATAATTCAAGACCTATAATTCCTATTTTACTTTAAGTTCGGTTTTAAATTGTATAGAACAAAATTTTTGGGGTCTACCTAAACCTATAATTTGAAATACCCATAATACTTTTGTAAATGTAGCCCAACCATTGACCTAATAACCTATGGAAAAAATAGCAACGTTCATTTCTCAATTATACGTGAAGATGTCTCGCGAAAATCTTTAATTAACACCATTTGTTATCACTATTCATTTTCAAAAGTAATTTTGCAATGTTGATGTTTTAATTTGCAACCAAGATAACTACTCAAGAAAAATGATTAAAGATAAGATTAAATATTTCGAACATATGTATCAAACAAGTATAAAAAGACGCCCAACAGGAGCTTCCGTCTTACTGATTGGCTAACTTCTCGATTCACCATGATCGCCGCATACATCTTTCTGCTTTTGTCGATTCAGCAGGTAATTATTGTTCATTATGTCTCAATATTTCTGACAAATTTACTGTATTTCGGTTTATTCCTTAAATTATCCGGCATAGGAAAACTTCTCTTCAAAAAAGGTTCTTCTCCACTAACTTTTTTAATAGTCAACGTTCTTTATAGATTTATAGAAAATGTAACAACTTGATTTGTACATTAGTTTTGGTACAATATTATAAAAATGTAAACACACACCTATATAATATTGACCATAATAAAATATTGACCAATGATAATCATTGACGACCAAATTATTCATAGTCGAAACATTCCGCCCATTCCATCGCACTTAGAAAATTGTTACTTTAAATGAGGGATGGGTTGAGATGTTGAAAATAAACGAAGTATGTATGTAAGAGAATGTTTGGATTGCTGTTTACTTCTGTTATTCATTAATTATTTTGACACGACTTGTCCTAGATTTAGAATGAAATATGGTAGAAAGACCAAAAATTATTATCTCTCTTTCTAGGTATGTCATGTGGCAATCGGAACTCCTGTTGAAGAGTTAACTTTCGACGAGTTGGAAGACATCCATTTTGAATCAAACGATAAATCAAACATTTCTGATATCTTGCCTTCTTGGCTGGTCAACTGCAAGAATCTGTCTACGACTGCACAAGAGGTGCTACAAGTGGTCCAGAACATCTCCACGTGGCTTTACCAAAAGCCAGTCACCATCATCAAAGATTTCGACGACCTTCGCAAATGCTCAGGCCTGTTGAAACCCATCTGCCTCGTTAACGGGCTGATGAAAGTCGTGAACGACTTCCAAACCATCCAGCATGAAGTGCAATCACGTGTTAACATAACTGATACGCTTTTCAAAAAGGTGATCAAGGAACTCGTTTGGTGCTTTTTACACGCGAGCGACGACCAACCCGAATCGCAATTGATGGAGGAGTTATTCATGGAAATGGATATAAACCGCTAAAAAAGTACCTACTTACTAGTTACAACTATGTGATAAATAAATTGATTACCCAAATTATTTTATTGTACATATATTTTTTTACAATCATTAACAAAAAAGTGCTAAGGGAATTTCTTGAAAATAAACTACAGCACTGTAACTGCCAAATGTGTTGCATAGATATAGAATATGAGCAAAATTAATTTTTGTCATGCCAGCTAACACTAAACTTTTTACATGATTATACAATAACAATAAATACAGTTAATAAATGTACATAAAATCTTACTCATCCTGTAACTACATCTTTACAATAAATATGTATTCAAAAGTTTTCAACGTCTTTTTAATGCTAAATAAATGTAGATATTTACAAAATATTGAACTAAATACGTAATACTTTGACAATTTTGTCATTTTCCTTCATTTGGTTTTCGTAATACACAGGAAAGTTCCTCATTGAAGATCGCGCAAATGCGCTTTTATGTGTGTCTACTCTTGTGCTCTTTTCTGTTCAACTTGCGCTTTAACTAGCCCCTAAAGCCGGGAACACACTTACTCGATGCAACGCTATGCGACGCTACCCGACGCCTCGCCACGTTTTGGTGGGGTGTATCTACGCGACGTCAAGCGCACGCCACGTACAGTCACACAGCGTGCATCACTAATCAGTATCACAATCGCAACGCCTCTTTTGTTCTTATTGCATTATTTTGAACAAAGCCGTGTAAAAAATTGTTAGTTAAATTTTATAAGCACAACCATATAATAAATTGTTAGTTAAATAAATAAATAGTTTTAAATAAATTCACTAATTTCGTGGCCCGCTTGACCAATTAATATATTACAATTAATTAAGGTTTTTAGTTGAGATAAAAAAGTCAATGGCACGAGCGGGATTTGAACCCACGATCTTCGGCTTGATACGCCGCTGCTCTACCACTTGAGCTATCGTGACCTCGATCCATTCGGACACTAACTTCCCATCNGAGCTGTTCTGACGCTACTCGGCGAAAATTGTGTAATTGTATGAACAAAACCATGAAATAAATTGTTAAATTTTATGATCAAAACCGTATAATAAATTGTTAGTTAAATTCACTATATCAAAAAATGGTATTCCGGTGTTTTGATCAATTTTCTACCAAACCATTAAAATTATTTTTTTTTAAAGATAAAAACTAATGATCTCGCTTAATTTGGTTTATAAGTATGTTAAATAAGTATGTTGTAATTAATATAACGACAATAATACATGTAGTTTGAATAAAAATATGAGTTTGAATAGTGAGTCCGGTTCTTTTGTCTTTGACTGTACTCGATGCTACCCGACGAAAATCTGGACAGTGGTGATCGCAGAGGGTAGGTAGCGTTGCATAGCATCGGGCAGTTACGCACGGGGTAATACAATCTTAAAGAAAAATGGAGTTTGGATTTGCGTCGCATAGCATTGGGTAGCGTCGCATGGCGTTGCATCGGGTAAGTCTGTTCCCGGCTTAATGCATGCCTTTTGTTGAATTCATGAAACGCATGCAGCTAACTGTCCACATCACGCCAGTCAACTTGCCGCCTTCGGTCGGTCGTACATTATTTAATTTAAAACCTAAACCGTTAGTTGTCAACTTATTTAAAGTTAGTAAAGTTACAGGCTTTGCTCGCGGGTATTAGTGCAGCATTTCTAAAAAGAAAAAGAAAAACGGAATCAGCGACGGCCCGTATGAATGAAAGAGTATTTGAAATGTCGTAATTTTGAAATTATGAAAGAAGTGGATATGGATAAATGTGTCCTTTTGGAGCTGATATTAAATTAGCGGTAACGCTCAGATATTTGGGAAGAACTAATGATCTATTTCATGTCAAATGAAGGAGCAATGGCAATTATAATATCTCCTTTAACTACTTCTGTACCTCAGGTTATCCGATTCAATAAGTGCTGACAAATGTGCTTTTTTTTCAAAAACATCGGCACCCCGAGGATTGATATGACCTCTGGTGTTGCAAACCCTCGCAAAGAAAAAAAAACTTAATTGGGTATTTTCATTTTCGCCACAAGTCCCAGTATTTTTTGCAACGTTCTGATCACTTTCCCTAGTTTTATTTGGTGTTATTGAGTTGCATCGTTCAACTCGTCTAACACATACATTAATTGTATTCCTCATTTTCATGTGTGATGTAGACGTAGCTTTTGATTAATTCACTTAACCAGCGAGTGCAGATTGATCCAATATCCAGTTCAACATGTGTCGCAGACCAGCCTCCTAACAACAATTGAATATATCAATAAAACATCTAATTACCATTTTTATGCCTTGATCCCAACGATCCACGTACCTCACGTGGAAATCTCACATAAAGTTCTTTCCTTACATGGCTAAGTAAATTTCTGAGAGGAATTTTCGTTTGGAAAATTAAGATGTGCACACGGATCATGATTTTTCTCTTTTTGTACTTTTTAAAAGTCTATAAATTTGAGGAAAGGGAGTAAGAACGCCCGTATAGCGCTTCATCACTGTGAGTTAATAATACAGATATTAATCTTCAGATGAAATAGTGATTTTCTCGTTCAGTTGTCTCCTCCTTCGATCCATATTACAGTTCATCTCCTGATTACTATAAATCAGATTTGTTCGAATTCCAAGCTCCAATCGCAGAGCTAACGTCTCAGACCGGTAATGGACTTCTGGGGTAATTTAGAGTTAATCGACAACTACACGGCTGGGGTAGCGTTAATCCTAGTTTAACAAAGTTTGCCGTCTTAGGAAACAATATTGTGATATAAAGTCCTTCTGGGCAGTCGCTAAATTCGATATCGCCCTTGATTAATACGAACCTCAATTATGATAAAAGGGACTCGGAGGGATTCTCCCCACAGGGTCGGATGAGGAGGAAATAGCGAGTTACCTCATGAAGGTTTCCATTAGACATACGCTCAAAACTCATTTAGACGTACGCTCGTCTAAAATTTGTTAAGTGCTTTAGGCGAAACGTTTCTGGTGCCATTTTGAACCTCAAAAAATTAGGTTTAAGTAGACAATTATTTCCTTTTTTTTCTTTGGTTAATCATCAAAATATATAATAGCATATATTTTAATATAAAAAATTTGTTGTATTGTTGAAAAACGTTACTATGGAAACAATGAAGAAAATCTACATATGTATTTAGTAGTCATAATTGACCATATTAATTATTTAAATTAATTATACTTTTTATCTAACGCCTTGGTTGAGATGAAAAAGCTAGCTTCATCCCGCTTGTAACCTGGTTTTTTATTCTCAACAAAGACCTTAGCTAAAAAGTATAATTAATTTAAATGAAGAAAATATTCAATTCAGTTCAGAGTATTTCCTCTACTTGCTTTGATCACAGCTTGCATTCGGCATGCTATCGATTTTATTTTCGCTAGTGCTGTGGAATGTTTTCATACTCATCCAACAGCGCCATTCTTATTTTCTGCAAATTCTCTGGCATCTGTGGGCGATTTTTTACCCTTTTTGATAACTCGTCTCAAATTTTTGGATAGGGTTTAAGTCGGCACTACATGCTGACCACTCCAAAAATTGAAATGAAACCCTTTTGTAAGTAGTCACCTACCATCCTAGTTGTGAACAGTCATGCACAAAAATAGAACCGTCGCTAATTAGTGGCATATAAACAACAACTTCTTTTGATGATATCTTCAATGTATCGCGCAGCTCTTATGAAACCCTCGATGGAGATCAGGTTTGGGCGACCTTCCATTGAAATGCCTGCCCAAACCATAACCACCACCTCCATGGCTTCTCCGGAGGGAAAATGTTGCGGGGATATCGCTCTCCTTTCTTCCCCATGCCGTCTCTCGGCCGTCAGAATACACACCTTGCTTCATCCGAAAACAAGATTTTCTTGCATTCGGATTTCTTGCAAAACTTACTTGGGAACACCAAACACCTGCTTTTCTGTGCCTTATCTGAATTTCTAGACCAGTGGCAGGCCATGTTTTGCCTCTAAGTGTAGATTAATGATTTTTTCTTGTCAATGTTGTATCATATAACTATGGCTAAGTCATGTTTATGACTACCTAAATAAGGAACAACTTCTGATGATCATCTTCAATGTATCGCGCAGCTCGTATGGAACCCATGTTGAAGATCAAGTTTGAGCGAGCTTCAATAGAAAAGCCTGCCCAAACCAAAACACCTAAGATATTTAGTCCAATCTTGCTCTGATAAACTGATCTGATTTCTTGCGAAACTTCACCGAACTGATCTGCGCCATGTCGTAAGTTCTGGACCAGTGCAGGCTTTCTCGCACGAAATCCAGCTCCTGAAAGTCTTCTACTTACAGCGCGTAAATACAGTGACATTAACATTTTTAAAAGAGTATATCGGATCAATAAAAAGATCATCTTTCTGAAATGTGACACGATTGCGACCTGATCCATGCCATCTTGAGTAACCTCCAGTATCTTGGTAGCGATGGAAGACCCTTCAGACAATTGTTCTGGGATCGTTAAGCACCCTGGCCATAATGCTTGACTTCTTCTAACTTCTAACAATGCTATGATTCAGCCGGATCTCTATCATTTAAAACCATCAATCAAACAAATTTAAATCTTAAAAATAAAACAAATGAAACCACCGGAACGTTAGAAAGAAGCTTTACAGAAAAACCAAAAAAGAAGAAATTGACTATTCAGTTAGTCAAGAAATTCAATTGTAAACCAAGTGGAATATTTCATCACTGTTTTATTTGCATCTAATCCTTTTAAACTGACCAAATATAGTTGTAAGATAATCAATGGAGGATTGTCTAAGAAATAATTCGAAATATGCCAGTTTTTGTGCTTCTCAGTGAAGGCTAATTAGATTTTTTGATGATTGTTTCTACAGAATAAATTTTGGAAACTTTTACGATAGCAAAAATTGCCTAATACTAACATGCGTCAATTGTAGTTGATTATAACGTTTATGTTTTGTTTAAAGTAATGTGATGATAAGAAAGTTAATATTCCACCTCTTTTATCAGGTATTTTGTATATATTAACACTAAATTTCTGAAATTTTATCTAGTACCTACTCATAAATTTCAACATTTCTCTTTGTTAAAAAAATTAATAAATGAGATTGTATCCTTATCTTCAAACTCAAGTGTGATTTTATTTTTTGGGTGAACTACTAATTATTTAATGCATCATGTAATACATTATAATCATTTTGGTGAATTTATGTTTTGCGGACCTTTCTCTTAAAGGTAATGATTTCTCAGTTGAGTACCCTGGACCAAATAAATTTCGCTGCAATTATTCGCCAAAAAATATCTACAAACTCTTGTACAATATTTTGATGTCAATTGGAGCAATACCTGCCACTATACATGACGCTTGGAAAGGTATTGTTTTAAATAGAAAAAATATTGTTCTATACATTCTCTAAAGCAGGTGTTAATAGATGAAAAAAGTCGATCTGTCAACACTGGGGAGCCACAAGTGCTAAAATTTAAAATTACTTTTATTTGATAGAAAATTGGTAGCCTTTTGAGAAGTTTTCATCATGATTTATTTTTTCGAGTCAATGCTTCATTACGTAAAGTTCCAGCATTTTCCTGAGATTAACCGACTTTAGATTAAGGATTTTGAAAGGTAAAAGATTTGTAGATAAAGCAATAGGTCGTTATTTAATAAAAAAGCATCAAATTTCATAAATTTATGTCATCTTTGGGGGGTTGATAACATACGCGATTTGGAATTCTCTGTAAGTAGCAAATAAAGCAACAAATTAACAATCTTTCCACGCATTCAATCATTGAAGTTTTTTTTCTTTTTTTTAATGGTTGATAAACTGGATTCCATTGCAGAAATATTTCCGGCTTTGTTTCTAACCCGCATCGAGGCATTGTTGTTTATAGTCTGCTAAGTGTGTAATAAATGGGATGTTTAAAGGGTACTCAATAAATAACAAGTTTGGTTAGACTAACGTTATAAATATTAAATTCCCCAAAGCAGGACATTTTACGGTTTTTTCAAATTTTTGCCCAGTTTGTGGAGCCAAGCTGATGGCCATCGTGGCCATACCCAGCTTGGCGACCTTTTGTCATAAAAGTTTTAATGTAAACCGCTTACTTCGTCATAATAGCATTCTACTATGGGCACAGAAAAAGAATATTAGGGGTATTCACGATATTTGTAAGATGTTATCTGGTGTTAATTTGAATAGAGAAATGTCCAGTAAGATCGTAAACGCCCTCTTCTTACCATATTAAATGTTAATTTTTCCGCAATGCTGGGCGTGGCGATAAGTAGAACCAAAAATAAAGGTATAACAGTCCTTGAAGGCTTGTTGTTGTTTGTTTTGGTTTTCTTTTGTGTTAAATTATAAGATGCCAGAAGTTAATAAAACAGGAAAATTAATCAACTCATTCATTCAAAATGCTATCTGTGAATTCGAAAAGTACTAACAAATGACACGCTTCAATTCATGCCGACATACCTAGCTTGTATCTTAACTTCTAACAGCCTTCAACTTTATAGGATATGGGATGTATCTATTTTGAATGAGAGTGTAAGGACAGGTCAGAAATTAACAAAAGAAACGTATTAGCCTGGAATTAATGGGTATTTAAGAATAAAAATACGTGTAAACAAAAAACAGCTGTTAAATTCATGGCCGCCATGTTGGTTACCTACGCCCTAACGGATAGCAATGTGACTACATTTTCGACCTAACATCTAACATTGGCCCCGGCCTGTTAGATCGAACAATGTTAACTAGCCGATTCATACAAGTCTACGTCATCTTTTTTTCTTGATCTAACAGGACCTAAAGACTTAACAGGGTTAACACAAAGATCGTGAATACCCCTATTGATTTCAATTTAAAAAAATCGTAAATCATGACCTTTAGAAGAGGCGGTAGGCAGTGTTTTTACAGAGGTTGTTAAAGAACAAATTAATTACCATCATTACACCTCGTTTAAATCTGAGGATTAAATAATAGCCAACTAAATGCTTCTCATAAACTGAACATTCTAATAGTACAATCAATAATCATGGTTCGTTTATTACCTAATTATTCGTCTATAATAATTATATAATTAATTATTTATGTTAAACCTAAAATATTTTGCGAAGAACGATTTGCAGCAATATTTGTTTATTGTACATGTTTACGCCGATCGCCCTTTGAACCCTTCTGGAGGTCTCCGGCCGGTCGGCGAGTCAGTTGTTGCCTAGAGCCAAAGCCGAGAACACCGTTATACCTGCCTATCTAAACCCGTGTTGTGCGCAATCGATGGTTTTGACGACCTGCCCGTGTCCCTTAAGAGTTCGGTACCAAACGTCTGAATCCGCCGGAGACTGTGGGGCCCTACCTAGTCGAAGAAAGAAGAGGACGACTGGGGCCGAGCTGCTTGAACTCGTTGGGGTAAGTGCAAACTTAAAAGTATCCCAATCCCCTCCTCGGATTCACTCTTTAAATTTTAACATAAAGGTATTTACCCATTCATATACAGTCCACTTAACGAACAGTACATTTTAAATCTTGTTAGCAAGTGTTGAGAGGTTTCAATTTCAATACACCTGTTGAATATAGGAAGACGTTCACAGATGACTCTTGTTCGCTTTTTTTTTTTTTTTTTTTTTTTTTTTAAAGGAAGCAACCACAATCAGGGTTATATTTGCCTTGAATCTGTCTGCGGGGGAAGCAGACGCCCGACCGAGGAGCCAGGCAGCACGGGAGGACACAGGGGGCATATGGGAAGCATTCTCTTGCATTGGGGCCCGCCACCAGCCACAGGTCCCATCTCTTTATTTCATCTCACAAATCAGATTTTACCAAACAATTCTGTTTCCCTTAAAAATTTAAATAATCTTGATACTGTTGTTTCTCTGTCATTTAGCAATTCGGGTAGAGAGGCGGGCAACTCACTGCTCATGCGTGCCCTTCTGTACATCTTACATTCTAACAGTATGTGCTTGACTGTGGTTAAAACTCCACATGTCACGCACATAGGTGGAGGTTCGCGTGCCATTAAATACCCGTGTGTTATTCGTGTATGCCCTATCCTGAGTCTCGCAAGAACACATTCTTCTTTTCTAGACAGTCTAGCTGAGGTGGTCCATAGTCTTATATCCGCTTTAACGGCTCTAAGTTTGTTTTCCCTAGTATTGAACCATTCTAGTTGCCATTTTTCTTTGGTTTTGGCTTGTTCGCTTTAAAAATAGCTTTTCCTTCTTTTCTTCCTAATCAACTAGAGCCATTATAAAACACCGAACATTATCTCACTGAGCTTACCATCTTTTACATTAAGTCATTAAATCCTCATCTACACCAAACTTTTGATTTGAAAAGTACGATTGAACCTTTCTGTATCAGAGAAGTCTGGTTGTTTGTGCGATGATTAATCGTGGAAATCAAGACATATGTGATTGTTATTTCCTTCTCTTATAAACTGCTTAAGATCAAGTGGATATCTTGCACGTAAGATTACGACAACTTGCATGATTCAATGCAAACAAGTGGCATACAACGGTTTTTTGGCCAAAATGTAGATACAGATACGTTAATTGCAAACAGCTCAGAAGTAATATTTCTTGATACAGAACACAAAATAAATAAGTATTTTTTATTTTACAGATAACTGTTCCATACCCTTCCAAGCATATGACCTTACTTTACGGCTTCTCTTTAGTCGACGGAGCCGTCTAGCATATAGTAAGTTGCTTTTAATGTACTGAGAATGTTGTCTGTATACAAAGTCAGGTGTAGCGTCTTGATTATGTTTGGCCAAAGAAAGAAGAATTTATGAGTTCGAAATGAAAAATGGAAATGTAAGGGTGTTTCAGGTGTTAGTTTAGCCCTGTTGAATAGAGTTTCAAAACTGTGGTGGAGGGAACTTGAAGGTGATACAGTAATATTTGTTAAGTATTGAATTCTTAAAGGTTGCGATCCTAAATTCAAAGGATCCTTCTAGTAAAGCGTCTAATTTTGTAATTTGATCCATCTTGGTCATCTTGGTCTGTCTGTTTTCGCTGTTGGTCAGTCATACACGTTTGGTCGTTTCGCCATCTTCATGTCTCTAAAAACCTGTTGCTCATAATATGGCTTCAAAAGAAATAAATAAATGTGTACACAGTTTTGTTTATTAGTAGTTTATATGAATAGAGTTACATATTTGATTATTAATGCTTAAGAAAATCTTCGCCGAATCGCAAAGCGTGCAGTGTTGTTTTTTGCATAAAGCACGACTCCATTCCGGCTTTGACTTCTTCCGTCAGTTTTAAACCTTCTTCCCAAAATTTCTCGAAGGCAGGCTGGTAGGCGACGACGTCCTTCTTCATTTGCTCAAAGTTATCTACGAGGCAGGGGATGGTGGACACCAAACCCGAACACGTGAGGAACGCCGACAAGTCTGATCCGACGACAAAAGAAAACTCAAACAGCCAAGGTGCCAGGCGAAGTGTATAGTTGTACACGTCGTTGTAGGCTACTGTCAGATTGGCGCAGTCGTCGAACCAGGATAAAAGTCCTGTTTCCTCAAAAAGGGACGAAGAGTGGTCGCCGGGGGCGTACAATTCGCGCCCTTCCACCGGCGTTGCAATGCAACCATGGAACACCTAAATTGAGTTATCTTTTTAAACATAATTTTACATAAATTTTACTCTTTGATTATTGTTTTAGCAATCTTTGCGCCATTTTTGGAAAAACTCTAAAGAAAACTGGTGTCGTGACGCCCTCTTCCGAAAAGCTAAGTACAAATTATTGTGAGTCAACTTCGTTTAAAACAGAAAGAAAATTAATCTACGGCTATACTTTAACATTCTAGTATAATAATAGTATAAACAAGACATGCAAGTTTTTTCTCAAGTTTTTATGGGATAATTGTTAATAAATGGTTATTTTGTGACATCTTTTCATGTGGTCTGCGGGTTCAACCAGTAATATGGTTTTTACCAATCATTTTAGCCTGCTTATCAATACAGGGTTTCGTCAGACGCTTTCGGGATTTAGCCATCCTCAGTGTGTCTCAGACAGACCAACTCAGCGGAAACGGCAGACGAAAACGTTCAGCGATGTCCAATCATATGGTATTTTTATTTTATACGGTTACTTTTTATTTTATTTCGCGGGCACATTGTTTCTTTCCCTTTTGTGAATTTTTAAATATGTACCTGAACTCAAAGATTTTAAGATGTTTCCTATTGAAGAGGGGTCGGATGTGCCCTTAAAATTGATATTTCAATAAAATAAAAGTATACTGTGGTTGTTTTCTTTCAGAAGGAACAGACATCCCATAAAAAAAGAAGTGTATCAACGATCAGGATTAAAAAAAGTCGAACTTAAAAATTTGACCGCAATGGTGGTCACTTTTTCATATTTAAAACCGGATTGAATCACTGGAAAATTACATTTTTCCAAAACTAACTTTAGAAATATGTATGGTGATTAGTGACCGTTAATCGATATTTATTTAGAAATCGTGAGATGCGGTCTGGTGTGATGTAGGTTTCAGAAAAACATTTTCTTTATCTCACTCTCGACACGACACGCAAGAATGGCATAATTACACAGAAGACAAACACTTTGAGTGAGTAGAAATACGTTGATTGAATATATAAAAAATATATTGTATAAATTCACTTTTCCACATCCAAAATGTAATTGTTATATGTAAACAATGTTTGTAAATCCCAGGCCCTGAAGATGATCTCAATAAAGATCGAAACGTTGGCACAATAAAGAAAATGTTTTTCTGAAACCTACATCACACCAGACCGCATCTCACGATTTCTAAATAAATATCGATTAACGGTCACTAATCACCACACATATTTCTAAAGGTAGTTTTGGAAAACTAAAATAAATTTAGAAATATGAAAACCACTTTATGTAATTAATGAACAGATAATCAAAACTTGAAAAATAAATTTCAAATTTTGGTCATAGAACCTGTTAGGATTCAATAAATTATTATAAGAAAAAAAGAAAAGAGATTGTTAACAAATATAAACAAATTTAATTCCACAGTCAATTTGTATATTTGTAAACGTATGAGTATTCTTGTGGCTATAATTTCTTATACTAAAAAAATAATAAAACTGTAATAGCTCTTTTTTATGTTGGTACAAAAATGCACACCTTAATGTTTGGTTAATAGTTTACCTGCAAGAATGCAACGAACAAGACGAAGTTGAAAGCACCCATTGTACGCGGTAGGTGTTATAAGTCGATTATCTCCGATGGGTAACTGTTTGACAATCCTTTGGTTACTTTTATACATATAAGATTACTCACTAATCTTACAAACCGCAAATAATGTTAATCTTATCTTCATATGTCAAGAATCGTGAAATAAATAATCAATTGGATTTACTGAAAGCACAAGTGCTGTAGACAAATCCGGATCATTACGGTTGAAAATATTTGTTAGAAATAACAATTGAATAAAAAACACCGGTATTACATACATATATTATTATATTCCAATCAATCAATTTAATACATTCTTAAATAAACAAGGGAAATCTACCATCTTAGAAACAATGATAGCGGTTTAAATTTTTATCAAAATAGTTTTAAAATATTACAAAATGACACCATAATCCTTAAAATCCGAGGAATTTTATTCACTCTCGAGAATATGAGATCAACACCTAACTTTACCCTGCTTTTTAAGTGCACGATTTTAAGATTATGATCTGCATTTTAACAACCTTATTTTCAAATAACAATACAACAAGTTTAATTTAAACCTTTAAAAAATAATTATCCAATTTAAGTAAATTTATGCCTAACATGTAAATATGTTGATGGTGGGTATTGGTCTGAGAATCGCTAAACACACGTTGAACCGGCACTTCGCCACTTATTGGGTTCGTACACCCGCGGGTTTGGTAAATTACTATTATGACAGAGTCAATATGACAATGGACTGAAGATGGCGCAAAGTCGAAACTCGTTTGAGTAACTTCAAAAGTTTAGACCGCCCCAATACATAATGTAATGCCTAACATGTAAATATGATTTTCATTATGGCACGTTGGATGGTTAACAATCAATTAGCATTCTGGTGAAAACCGATGGGCATTTTTTAAGTGGCCTTGCCATCTTTAAGGCAATAGGGCATTCACGATGTTTGTAAGATGTTAACTCGTGTTAATTCGAATAGAGAAATGTCCAGTAAAATCGTGAACGTTCTTTTCTTAGCAGATTAAACGTTAATTTTTCCGCATTGCTGCGCATGACGATTTGTAGAACCAAAAATAAGCTATAACAGTCCTTGAAGGCTTGTTGTTATTTGTTTTGTTGTTTTGGTTTTCTTATGCGTTAAATTATGCCAGAAGTAAATAAAAAAGGAAAATTAATCAACTCTTTCATTCAAAATGCTATCTGTGCACTCGAAAAGTACTAACAAAGGACACGCTTCAATTCATGTTCATACCTTGCTTGTATCTTAACTTCTAACAGCCTTCAACTTTATAGGATATGGGATGTATCTATTATGAATGAAATTATAAGGACAAGTCAGAAATTAATAAAAGAAACGTATTTCTCTGATTTAATTAATGCGTATTTAAGAATAAAAATACTGTAAACAAAAAACAGCTGTTAAATTTGTGGCTGCCATGTTGGTTACCTACGCCCTAACGGAGAGCAAAGCGACTACATTTTCGACCTAAGATGTAACATTGGCCCTGGCCTGATAGAGCGATGTTAACTAGCCTATTCTAACAAGTTTACGTCATCATTTTTCTCGATCTAACGGGACCTAACAGAGTTAAAAGGGTTGACACAAAGATCGTGAATACTCCTATTATGCTTATAGTTTACATCACATTTCATACAATCCAAATTTACAGTAAACACAGGAAAGCTTATATATACAGAAAGACGGCCAGGAAGGATTACGGGCTTGTGCATACTTACTTTCCACCCAAGGTTTTTTCGGGGTGCACAAAAAATCACTGATCCGTTTATGTAAACCATCATTTTATTCTAATGTGAGGCAAATATGGGGATATTGAACAGAGTTCTGGCACGTCATTCAGAAATCGAAAATCCCTGCCAACGAGATCCCTGGTTTGAGGGATCTATTCCTTGATAATCTCATGGACATAACGGACAGCGGTGAGGTTGCGGTCAACAATATCGAATCCACTTCGTTCTCCAGTGTAAATCCAAGCCAGACCATTACACCGCCTCCTCCAAACTGTACTGAAGGGAGCACAAACTGGGGCATTGTACGCATCCCCTGTTCTCGGTAGACTCTTCGGGCCTGCTGTCTCTAAACAGATAGAAAGGCGACTCACCAGTAAACATAACAGCAATCCTTTTAAAAAGATAGTTCCTACTCACATTGTTGTGTTATTGTTTTCAGTTTCGAGCTTATAGCTTATCATCAGGCTGTAGAACTCCTTCAACCAGATGGTGAGCTATAAGCTTGAAATCCGGATCATTGAAAACAATTTACTGTGAGTAGGAACTATCTATTTAAAAGGATTGAACACTGGACTCACTCCACCCTTCATCATTTCTAACATAACAGCATTCCAATTGATGTTCTCTTCTAGGCGGGAACCATATTCTCCTGAATTGCTGGTGGCGGGCTGTTGGTGCAGGTCCTCTCAAAGAGGCATATAGTGGAGGCTAACATCCGCCAAACGGTTACGAATCGTTTGTGTTTGTAAAGACCTTGCCGAAACATCTTATTCTTCATTTAGGATCTGGCGGGCACTATGGAAAGGGTTCCGTTTTGCAGAAATGACAATCTTTCTGTCCTCCCTTTGCATCGTAATGCGCTAATCTATGGTATGATATGGTAAAAAAGGATACTAGGAAGCGGGTTTTGTGCTCCCCAGGCGGGACGGACAAATTTAACGCCCCATTCAATTTATTTATCTTAAAATTAAATCCGTTTCTAAATAGATTTGTACATCTTCAGGATCTAAGAAAACGCAACTTCGAGGTTCGAAATATTTCAAATTCCTCCAGACCTGGTAAGATGAAGGACCAACGAAAATAATTTCATGGCCCGGCACCTGGTTCGTGAACGTCTTCGTACCATAGCTCAGAAAATGACCAGGCTTCAAATGCTCACGGAAACATGTGAATTGGACATTGGACGATTGGTGACTAGTTCTCTGAGATGAGGTGAGAGTTGGCCTCAAATTTTCAGATGAGCGTATGGTATGGTATTGTGGAAAGGATACTAGGAAGCGGGGTTTGTATTCCTCAGGCACTGCAGCCTTCTGGCTTATTGTACCTTCCTAGTTGCTTAGTTCAGTCAATAGACTCAATCCTTCTTCTTAGAAGTATCAGGTCATTGACTGTTGCTGCTGCAATTTGATTCCCTAAGTCTTTTCCGTGCGTAAGTTTAAACCTCCATTGCTTCGCATTCGAAGATGATATGAGTGGCTGTTTCCTCCTTCTCATTACATAATCTACAGAAGGGATCATCGCTGTATATACCCATGTTGTGTAGATGTTTTCTCAGATACCAGTGACCGGTTTCAGATGAGCGTAATCACATATGTAGACGCTCAGGAGAAAGGTATGTCCGTGTATGGTTGCTAGGTGGCAAACGACGGTGGGTCATTGACGTCCATGGTGGCATTTTCTTGGACACCCGCACCGAGTTGGTTGTACTGCGAGGAAAAGTCCTAACTTCACAAACAAAGTTACTTAATAGACATAATAAAAGAACATGTAGTGCCACTTGTCCCCCACATCGGTGAGAGATTCTTGCCAATGCAGGAAAATGCCAGGCCCATAGAACACATATTGTAGATAACTACCTGAATGATGTGTCAAAAGAGTACCTGGTGTGATCAACACAACGGCGAGATTTGAACCAAATCGAACACATTTGGGAACAAATTAAGCGATGCGAACGATGTCATAACCCAGGTCCTCACATCTTAGAAGAGTTTTGTTGATGGGAAACAATTCTTCAGGTTTTGCCCAGCAATCTTTTCCAAGGAATATAAAGGCGTTTAACGTCATGGTGATCATGAAAGGCATCCCCCGTATAAATTAATAAAAACAATCGGCCCAGTTTCGCCGATGGTGGTTACTATGTTTAAAATCATGATTATTTAGAGATAGTGAGATGTGGTCAGGAGTGATGTAGGTTTAGAAAAACATTTTCTTTATCGCGCCAACGTTTCGATCTTTATCGAGATTATTTTCAGGGCTTGGTATTTATAAACATCATTGGCCGTCGGAAGTTGCTTTCAGTCGGGCTTAGTCCTGAGAAGAGCTGGTTAATAGGCTGACTAAAACAACTTACGTTTAGCCCTGAAAAGGGCTAATTGCAATTTGATTTGGACATGCTGTCAGTCGACCGTATAATGAAATGCTGAGTAGTTAGTTTTTGGAAAAAACGAGAGTGAGAGAGAGTTGTAAGAATTTTATTATTGAAAACTTCCGTAATTTTGCGTTGGGTAATCCGTTTTTAGCGATTTTTTTTAAAAATTCGATTGGATTTAAGTTGCTATTTAAATACTATGTAAAAAAAAGACATTGCTCGCGGAAAATCTTTCACCCTGATTATTCGGACTTCGTGAAATGCGGTCTGGGGTGACGTAGCTCGCCTACGAGTGCCGTCCATAGTAGAGGTGAAGGAACAAAGAGACTCTCTTGTAAAAATACTAGTACACATGGACAACACGCAAAGAGCATGCTGAAGGACATCAATTCAATCAAGCAATCACTGAAAAGAAACTAGCATCTGCAATCAAGCACTGAACCTTTTTGTTAAACTGCAGGCAAAAGAGGCCCTGAAGATGATCTAAATAAAGATCGAAACGTTGGCACGATAAAGAAAATGTTTTTCTAAACCTACGTCACACCAGACCGCATCTCACGATCTCCAAATAATCAATAATGAACGGTCACTAAATACTACACAGTTGTGCCAGACTTTTAAAACTGTTTCTTTTCTGTTTTGTTTTGATGAAGATTTTATTCGTACTTATTTATTTTATTTTGTAAGTTGCGATCATTCGTTAGGGAATTTTATCTCGAGATGTTTTCCTCTTGACCTAATCAAACGAAGTAAAATTTTAATACATACCTGTAAATACTTAAGAAAATTGAAATGCTCCACTTGAAAGTAGTGCAAAAGAAAACCAACAAAAGGAAATCCTTTGAATGATAAATATGTTTAAAGTTATATCATTTCCTTTATCTTTCTCTGGCATCTTTAAACGAGCCCGAATGAAGACCTTAAGAAGGTAGTGTTAAAATGCAGACAAAATAAGGCCCTGAAGATGATCTAAATAAAGATCGAAACGTTGGCACGATAAAGAAAATGTTTTTCTATAACCTACGTCACACAAGACCGCATCTCACGGTTTCCAAATAATCAATAATGAACGGTACACTAAATACCCTTCCCAAAAAAAGTAAATGAATAAATAAAAAATCGTTATTTTACATGCCAAGTAGTCGTTTGTTCCGCTGGTATTAGGATGGGAAAAAGACCATATTACAACAAAGTTATTTTTCAATTTATAAGTTGATGGTGGATGAACTTGTTGGTTCTTTGCGAGATTATGCACCCTGAGTTACAAAAAGAAATTAAGCACTTTGATACCACAATTAATTTATAGTGTCAGTATTTAGGTTATTGTTTGGTCAAAACATCAAAATTGTTGCCGAGAGACGAGATTGTAAGACAAATTGTATGGGTGTACCGAGTGTATAAGAATCAAATTAGATTGACCGTATCAATTTTATAAAATTATTTACAGAAAGTACCATAATAAAACAAAGTTATTTTTGAATGTATAAGTTGATGAGGGATGAACTTGTTCGTTCTTTGTGATATTATGGACCCTGAATTTAAAAAGAAATTAAGCACTGTGATACTAAAATTAATTTGTAGTGTCAGTCTTTAGGGTATTGTTTGTTCAAAACAATAATCGTGTCTTGTTACTTAAAGGTAAATTGATAAAAAATTCAAATTTAACATTTTACAATTTAACAATTTTTTAACTTGAGGAAGAAACCTACAAAGCTCTGAAAATCCGAATTGATACTTTTGATACGCCTGTTGGTGAAAGGCAAAGACGTTTTACAAAATTTCACGTTGATGATGTATGTAAAATTTTTTTTTAATCACCAAAATCGATTACGATGACACGATTTGACTCATCTAACATGTAAAGTAATTTATCATACGATATATAGACATTAAAATTGGCCGAGAGACAAGATTGTAAGATAAATTATATGGGTGTAATGAGAGTATAAGCGACATGCCTCAAATTAGATTGACCGTATCGATTTTATAAAAGTTTTTACGAAAATGTTCTGCAAATTTTAAGAGGATGAGATAAGATTACCCACGTCTAAGTAATATTTAAGGAGAGAAATATCACTGAAGTCATTGTGTTTTTCCAAAGCAAACCTACAACCATGATGAATGTTCTATACGTCTGTTTGGCCATCACTCTTTTCCAGGTAACCTTTTATAAAATAGTTAAGAAAGTTAATTTATAAAAGCAGTTTTAATTAAAACATATATTAACAATTAAACAAAATTAATAATGAAACTTTTTCAAAAATACACTTCTGTTGTTTGTCAATTTTTCAATAAATTTTAAGATCTAATTTTTCTTTGAAATAACATTAATTTATTTATCTTGATCTGATTCTGTCATGGCGAATACCCAGCACAGCGATATTCTTTTATTCGTAGGAGGTACATGAAAGGTTGTCAAAATACAAAATCTGCGGAGGCATTAGTAAACTATGGCTAAAAGATATATTTTCCTCCAATTTTCAGCAATTTTCTCTCTCTTTATTTTTTTAACATACTTGTTATACATTATACTTCTATGCGTTTTTCTCTTGAGAATTTGACAGAATTTTATTTTTTTAACAGGGTATCCAAGGATTCGGAGGTATAGGTTACCAATTCGAGGATGGAGAGTTGGAGGTCAGTCCTCACGACTTTGAGCTCATGGCAGCCGAGACCCAGTTGCTCCGCGGTAACGAACACTGTGACAACGTGTCAGCCACTCTGCAAGAAATGTACAAACTTGGAGTTGAGATGACTATGTGGGTCGACAGATCGGTCGGCGTTCTGGTCCACGATATGAACGACTTCTTCAAATGCTCTGGACCCGGAGTCGTCTCATGCGTCCTCGACGCTTTCAAGAAGATGAAAGAAGATCTCTTGAATCTGAAACCAGCCTTTGACGAATACAAACAAGATTTCACTGTCCTGTTCCAACAATTGAGAAAAGAGCTTCCACTCTGCCTTCAATAAATTATACAAATCTATGTTACATTGTGTTAAAACGTCGTGCTCAAAAATAAACAAAAGAACATTTACGAGATATACTAAATCTTTCATTCCTTATCCCAAGACACACTCTTTTGCTAAACTGTGTTGTGAAAAACATTCGCTTTATTAATCTGAACGTGTTGGAATGATTGGAAAAACATCTTGTTTTAACAAATTGATTGTATTGATTACTTATGCATTACATAAATTTCTTTTCACTCTAAATTTAAACATGGAAGTATTTTGGCTAGTCATGACATGATTTACCCATCGTTATTTTATACAACATTGATAAGAAAGAATCCTTAATCTACACTTAGAGGCAAAAAATGTCCTGCCACTGGTCTAGAATTTCAGACGAGACACAGAACAGCTCAGTGTTCACAAGTAAGTTTCGCAAGAAATCCTATAAATTGGTCTAAATAAGATTGGATGAAAATCTTGTTTTTGGATGAGGCAAAGTGTTGTTTGGCGTTTTCTGACGGCCGAGAGACGGTATGGAGAAGAACAGAAGAGCAATATCCCCGCAATATGTTCCCTCCGGAGAAGACATGGAGTTTGTCAGAGCAAGATTGGACTAAATATCTTCATTTCGGAGTTTTGGTTTGGGCAGGCTTTTCTATTGAAGGTCGCCCAAACTTGATCTTCAACGAGGGTTCCATAAGAGATGCGCGATACATTGAAGATGATCATCAGAAGTTGTTCCTTATTTGGGTAGTCATAAACATGACTTAGCCATAATTATGTGATACAACATTGATAAGAAAAAATCCTTAATCTACACTTAGAGGCAAAACATGGCCTGCCACTGGTCTAGACATTCAGATAAGGCACAGAAAAGCATGTGTTAGGTGTTCCCAAGTAAGTTTTGCAAGAAATCCGAATGCAAGAAGATCTTGTTTACGGATGAAGCAAGGTCTGTATTCTGCGGCCGAGAGACGGCATGGGGAAGAAAGGAGAGCGATATCCCCGCAACATTTTCCCTCCGGAGAACCCATGGAGGTGGCGGTTGTGGTTTGGGCAGGCATTTCAATGGAAAGTCGTCCAAACCTGATCTCCATCGAGGGTTCCATAACAGCTGAGCGATACATTGAAGATATCATCAAAAGAAGTTGTTCTTTATATTCCACTAATTAGGGAACGTTTTATTTTTGTGCATGGCAGTGCAAGGCCATACACAACTAGGATGGTAGGTGACTACTTAATAAAGGGCTTCATTTCAATTTTTGGAGTGGTCAGCATGTAGTGCCGACTTAAACCCTATCCAACACTATGAGACGCGTTATCAAAGAGGGTAAAAGATCGCCCAAAGATGCCAGAGAATTTGTAGAAAATAAGAATTGCGCTTTTGAAGGAGTATGAAAATATTCCACAACACTACATTGCAAACCTCATAAAATCAATGGCACGGAGAATGCAAGTTGTGATCAAAGCAAATAGAGGAAATATTCTGTACTGAATTGAATACTGTCTTCATTTAAATTAATTATTCATTTATCTAAGGTCTCTGTTGACATAAAATAACAGTGTTACCAGCGGGATGATCTTTTTTCATCTCAACCAAGAAGATAGATAAAAAATATAATCAGTTTAAATAATTGATGTACAACGAAACTAATTTTAATTTCGCAATCGACGTGCCATCAAAATATTCTAATATCATAGATTTTAATACAATAAAATTGTTGTATTGTTGAAAAATGTCACTATGGAAAAATTGAACAAAATCCACGTATGTACTTACTCATAATCGACCGTATTAATTTAATTAAAATTTAAAACTCGAAGATTATATTAAAACATAAACTTTTTTAATAATGGGTTTCGCACGTCTATGAAATTTCTCACATACCACTTTTTCCTCTTAACATCCATCTCAGATGGAGTGTTCATTTGACGTCAAGCATTTAATTTAGTTCGATTAACCACTCATTTTCAAAATCATACGATTAGATTAAAAAAATATGATTAATGTAAATTGGCCTTGGTGACTAGCTCCAGAATGTTTTACACTACAATATAATAAATGTTCATAAAGTTACGATAAAAAAGTATAACCTCATATTTGATTTATTAGGTAACATGTCATAATAATTTCAATGTTCAATGTTTTCTCTCTGCAATATTACAAAACGTTTTGCTGAAGTAAGAGTGAGAAGGATTTATCTGGTGTAGAAAAAGAAAAAAATAGGGGGAGGGTAAACGCAAACTGAGCCGATTGTTTTTATTACTTTATACGGGGGCTTTCATGGTCACCATCATGTCAAACGCCTTTATATTCCTTGTAAAAGATAGCTGGGAAAAACCTGAGGAATTCCCATTCATCAACAAAATCTTGATCTTGAAACAAAAAAAAAGATGTGGGGAGCAAGATCGTACACGTCGCTTAATTTGGTCCCAAATGTGCTCGATTGAGTTTATATCTCGACTTTGTGTTGATCACACCAGTACTCAATTGCAACGTCATTCAGGTAGTTATCCACCATACGTGCTCTATGGGTCCTGGCATTATCCTGCATACCAAGAATCTCTCATCGATGTGAGGGGCAAATGGCACTACATGTTCGCCTCTCCATATGTAACTACGCTCAGCTGAAGATTTGAAGCCAACTCTAAGCTCATCTGTACAGAGAACTGGTCCCAATCATCTATTGTCCAATTCATATTTTCCGTGAGGATTTGAAGCCTGGTCCTTTTCTGTGGCCAAGGTTGACTCCGCATTTTAGTGTGAAGCCTTGTTTGTCTGACGCGCCGAAGAAGCCTTTCTATTGTAGAATCGTCTTCTGAAGACTGCTCACTGGCTGAATCCTTCCTCTAATAATTTTCTGACCCTGGCACTGCCAAACTCACTCAAATGCCTGCCTGTAGTCATTGAAAAAGTTTTAAGAATAACAATCATGATATCAAATGAAATAAATGAGTGATACAGACCACGCGAAAGCGATTTTTAGGCGGACTAGAATGGAAGGGCATAATGCTACTTTTTGTGCAAATGGTTTTAATCAGTGCAAAAGTATATAAAAGAAGTAAACAAAGCCTCATTTACTGTTTATTTTGACGACAACTCCTATTTTCCTGAAACGAATGTCAAAAGATAATGGATTTAATTCTTAACCTATATAAATTGAGTGGTGCGTTAAATTTGTCCATCAATGTACATAATACTGATAGTTTTGTGTCCCTTGTTTGTTGAGAGTGAATGTATTGATTGGCGTAAATATGCAGTGTGAGAGGACAGATTGCCGAATATTGGGTATCCCATCGACCCCCAATTGGAAAGTTATGCAAAACGGTGACCAGTAAACGGTGATGGAGTAATACTCCAGCACCCTAATTGAGCAAATGGTATGTAAATAGGAAATAATACATTTAAGAGTGAGTGGAAGAACGGGTTTGTATTTAAAAAGTGATTACGTTGGGAGCTAAAATGATCTAGCTGTTGATAGCCTGATAAAAAACTTCAGTGGTTGTACAGAGAAGACGACGTCCGATTTCTGACTCCTCGTGGTATGTAAATTACCCAAAAGTCGGAATGCATGTGAAGAGCTGATCTTATATACATCAGTTATCAATAATGAGAGTGTACCGCACTGGGAAAGTAGTTAGTACGTCCGAGTATTTGCCAAGATAGTGGTTGTCGGTTCGAATCCCGTCATAGCCAATGGACTTTTAAATGGAAAGTTTAAGCCACGCCCGCAATACCCGGTAGTCGGCCGTTAAGCTCTATGCTATGGCAGGATGATATATAGTTCATAATCATTGTGCTAGCAAATANAAACGAATGTAAAAAGATAATGGAATTAATTCTTAACCTATATAAATTGAGTGGTGCATTAAATTTGTCCATCAATGTACATAATACTGATAGTTTTGTATCCCTAGTTTGTGTTGAGAATGAATGTATTGATTGGCGTAAATGTGCAGTGTGAGAGGGCCGGTGGCCGAATATTGAGTTCCTCCTGAAAGTTATGTAAAACGTTGATCAGTAAAAGGTGATGGAGTAATACTCCACCACCCTAATTGAGCAAATGGAATGTAAATAGGAAATAATATATTTAAGAGTGGGTGGAAGAACGGGTTTGCATTTAAACAGTGATTACATTGGTAGCTGAAATGATCTAGCTGTTGATATTCTTTGATAAAAAAAACCTCAGTGGTTGTACGGAGAAGACGAGGTCCGATTTCTGACCCGAACCCCTAGGTGGGTAAATTGTTGTAAATTAACCAAAAGTCGGAATGCATGTGAACAGCTGATCTTATATAAATCATTTATCAGTAATGAGAGTGTGCCGCACTGCCGCCCGGGTCTTGGGATGAGGAGTGAATGATTTAGTACATCTCGTAAATGTTCTTTTGTTTATTTTTGATCACGACGTTTTAAAACGAAGTAACAATATAACATTTGTATAATTTAGTGAAGGCAGAGTGGAAGTTCTTTTCTCAATTGTTGGACCATGACAGTAAAATCTTGTTTGTATACGTCAAAGGCTGGCTTCAGCTTCAAGACATCTTCTTTCGCCTTCTTGAGAGCATGGAGGACGCATGAGACGACTCCGGGTCCAGAGCATTTGTAGAAGTCGTACACATCGTTGACCAGAACGCCGGCCGATTTCTTGACCCACATAGTCACCTCAACTCCAAGTCTGTACATTTGATGCAGAGTGGCTGACACGTTGTCACAGTGTTCGTTACCGCGGAGCAACTGGGTCTCGGCAGCCATGAGCTCAAAGTCGTGAGGACTGACCTCCAACTCTCCATCCTCGAATCGGTAACCTACACCTCCGAATCCTTGGATACCCTGTTAAAAAATAAAATTCTGTCAAATTCTCAAGAGAAAAACGCATAGAAGTATAATGTATAACAAGTATGTTAAAAAAATAAAGAGAGAGAAAATTGCTGAAAATTGGAGGAAAATATATCTTTTAGCCATAGTTTACTAATGACTCCGCAGATTTTGTATCTTGACAACTTTCATATACCTCCTACGAATAAAAGAATATCACTGTGCTGGGTATTCGCCATGACAGAATCAGATCAAGATAAATAAATTAATGTT